AAAGAATCTCAAAACAAGATAACCTTGGTATTTCTTTTTATATTGGTGACTTTAACAAATAATGAAAATCCCTCTGAGAATTCAATAAGAAGATGTTATAAAGTTGCGTGTTAGGACAGAAAAGTCCAGGCCTAGTGCCGTTGGGTTTCTCTAGCAGAAGTTGCATTTTTCTTAAAGCGATATTCATCACAACTGATTCTACTCTAATGAGGATCCCAACCCCTTGTGGCACTCAGCGCTTCACCAGAGTCAGCAACAAGCCTAATGCAATTAGGCCACGGCCGTCTGACGGAACCCTCTTGGACTCGGCCAGAGACGGCCAAGATGTTTCCTAAATGTCGGCACAATCAGAAGAGCATGGCTCGAGTGCCACGGGGTCCCTGGGGGCCCTGCTGGCTTCTTTTACTTTCTGCCAAACTTGCCTGCTCAGTTCAACTACAAATGGTGAAACAACCTGTGGATTTAATGGAAATATATATGTATATATATGTTACTATAAATGCTTGTACACTCTCCCAAATCCAAACGAGGCTTATGATAATTCTGAGTTTTCCATTACAGTTTCATTTTATACTTCATATGCTGAGATGGATTTTAACAGGGAGTAACATACAAGAGACAAATATTGTGCTCTTATCTGCATTATGGTGGTGCGTCGTGATTCACCGAACCTCCTCCTGACAGGGGCTGCTTTCTTTTCTTCTTCTTCTTCTTCTTCTCCTTTTTGCAACATCACTGGAAATATTCCCACCTCCCTGCCAGCAGACTCCCCTCGTCGCGTCCTCACCGGTGAGCAGCCCAATTCTGCCCCCAAGTGGCAGACGACAGCAACGACAAGGGAGGTTGACGGCTCCAGTCAGCGCCGCGGCGCCGCAGACGCAGGAGCCGCGGCGGGTTCAAAAAGGCGAGCAGACGTCAAATTATCACACAGCCTGGCGGCACTCCCGATGTGTTTTTTTTTTTCTTCTTTATTATTTTTGATGAGCGGACATCAGATCAATAATCTGTTCGTTAGTCTTACATGAGCAAATCTAAGAGCGACCTCTGCCCAGAGGAATCGATACCGCATGTAGTTACTCATTGTGCCAGATCCTTTTCTCCGTCCACAACAGACTTTTATGTGCGTCTCTCCCAGCAGCAAAGAAAAAAAAAAAAAAACGAACACCTCCCAATTATTGCAGAACAAACCCCCATGTGTGTAACCTATCAGGATGCAGTGCACTGAATCTCTTTGAAGTTGCACCGGAGCGGAGATTTCTGTAATTTGTTGCGAGAGCAAAATAAAAAATAAAAAAAATGACATCCAACATCCAACCCCTGAATGTGTCTTCGTCTGTCGGCCACAAATCTTTCTTTTCCCATGCAATCAAGGTCACACAGTGAGAGGCCACTAACAATGTGGGCTTATTTCCCTCCTGCCTTCATTGCCATACAATTAGCTGCGGTGCTATTCAATTTCCCTCATTTCAGACTTTGCAGATCAATATCACTCAGGCTGCTGGCTAAATGGTTTTGCTGCTGGGAGGGCTTTTCTATAGCTTAAGGGGAGGTATCAATCACCGGGCTAAAAGAGACATTCAGTCCTGGAGTGAGAAACGAGCAGACGGTCTTCGAGGAGCAATTGCACAAGATTGGAGAGAGCTGTGGTGGTGAAACGGGGGCAGTGTGAAATATTTAAAAGTGGATATTACCACACAGTTCAGGAAGAATCAGGGTCAATATGTAAAATTGATTTCCTGACTAATAATTCAGCAGCTCTATATTTTTTTGCCCTTTTTCGTTAGATTTGATGCAGTCTGGCTTTCAGAAACATCACTGTGTAGAAAAAGCTTCTTTTCTAGATAATAATCGAGGCTAAACTGGATAAAGGTGCCTGTAGTAGTTAGTTATCTACTGAGGAAAACCTTGTGATATTAACATACGATGTTTATTTTTTATTTTTTTCAAATCATTTCTGGATTAGAGGACAAAGTGTTTACATACGACGTAAGATTCTGAAATGGTTGGCATTTAAATCGGTGTACCTCAAGTTTCTGCACTGGTGTCTCTGGTTTTTGGTTTGTTTGGTTTTCCTGAAAGTTGTCCATTTTGTGCTGTTTCTCAGATGTACAAACAGATGATGGCGTTGAATATTTATATACGTCATTCCAGCAGCTGACTGCAGATGAATTGCCAGCTATTGACAGCTCAGATCTCTGAAAGGCTTCGTGACACGTGACATGTAAATAGAAATCCATGATACCACGATAGGGAATATATGAGCAAGCTAGATAAAAATTTTCCAATTGCACAATTCTGGGATTCAACTGAGCCTAATCAACTACATAGTTTTTTATATTAATTGGTAAACAAAATCTAAAAAAATCAAATTGTTGTTTGTAACAAGGCAAATCTATAAACACGTATATTAGTGGCGGTAAATGAAGACCATAATAATAAAATGAAGCAACATAAATAGCCTGGTGGATTTTGTTTAACGAAGAAAACCAACAAAAACCCAGAGATGCAAGGAAATCCAAAACACAAGCAAAACTGGAGACGTGAGGTTAGCAACAAGCATGATGATGAGCAGAGCAATGACACAGACTGGCAACTTGTGACTGAGTTAGAGGAGCTTAAATACTGGGAGGCCATGAATGAACCGGCGAGACGAGATAACTGATTGCAGGTGTGAGCAGCTGGCACAGGAGCTGGCGGAGGGGCGGGGAGAAGACGCAAAGGGAACATACTGGGGAAAACAACAGGGAGGAAACATAGAGCTGAAAATACAGAAGACACACTAAGAGTAAAGAAAATCTGATCAACTAGAAGAGAGAAAGACATGAGGGAAACATGAACCTAAACAGAAACAAGACAGATCTAACAAGAACCAAGGAACATAGAGCTAGAGTAACTAGAAGATCTAGACAAAGAAATAACCTAATCACTGCAGAAAGATGGACATAGATTCTGACAAAAGAGACTGACTAAACCTAAAGTGACAAAGTAAGAAAATTAGGAACATTAACGGGGACTTAAGGAATAACATAACTAGGATTACTAAAAAAAATGGATGCCGACGTAACAGAACTCAACCTAAAGCAACCAGATAAGAAAAGCTAGAAACATTACAGGAGGAAACTAGAAGGACTTAATAACTTAACTGGAACTACTAAAGAAAGGTCTACCTAGAACCAATAGATGTAATAATACCTGAACCTAAGAATAAACCTGACTATAGAAACACCACCAAGGGCTGAAAATAAGGAAAACAATAACAAGACAATTCGAATCACACTAAATAACCTCAAATAATAAAACTGAAATGACCATGAAGGGTTAAACCGAAACATAATCCAAAATGAGATGAGAAACAAACCCAAAAACAGAATCCTGACGTTTATTTAATCCTTTGTGACAGGTTCTCACTGGGCTTTTATCCACGCTGACGGGCAGAACTCTTCCACGTATCATGGCTGAGCGATCAAGGTTTGACGGGTCCAGTTCTTCAGTTCAACAGCTTGTTGTTAACCCACACCGTCCCACAGCTCACCTCACAGCGCGGGTGAGATATGAGCCACCTCGGCTGGTGAACGCAGCTCCATCGATGTCCTCGCTTTCGACAGAACAACCGGACACCGACTCCATCTCGGAGGGTAATTAGTGGCCCAGCTTCTTTCAGGGCCGGTCGAGGCAGACAGGCGGAGGGCGCGGGGTCATGGGTGCCTGAACCCCGAGGCAGGAATTTGGAGAAATGTAGAGTCTCCCATCGGAGAAGGAGGGGATCTATCTTTGGAAAAGTGTCGAGACGTGAAGGGGGAGAACACATCACAGACCTGCTCTAGATCTTAATCTCCACCAGAGCTCAACTTCAAATCACGGCGCATCGATCGCGTCCAAGCACAGGGAAGTCGAAACTCTTTTACTTTGCTATTACTCAGCAAGTTCCCATCAAGGACATCGTTCAGGAACAAAACCCAGGAGCTGTGCTGCATCTGGATATGCAACAGAGAGGCAAAGAAGTGTTTGCCCTCTATTGGATGAATTCTAGTTTTGCTTCTGTTACAGGTTATTTCTAACACTGCAAAAACAAAATCTTACCAAGTATTTTTGGAGTGTATAGTTTCTAGTGCAAACATCTTGATGAAAGACCAAACTAACTCACAAATGACTTTTTAGCACGATACCACAGCTTGTTTCAAGGAAGTAATTCTGGATTAATATTGAATAAAACGTCCTAGTTTAATTGGCAGATTATTTGATGATTTCAGTTAAAACAATTTTTTCCTCATATCATAAGTGAAATAATCTGCCTGTTGAACTAGTGTTTTTTGTTTGTTTTATCAATATTAAGAAACAAGGAACAAAATACAATTTTCAAATTATGATTTTAATTAAAGTGGGACAAGTTTTTCAGAGCCAAACTCTCTTTGTGTCAAAAATGTTTATTCTCTGTGCCAGGGGTGTCCAAAGTGTGGTCCAGGGGCCATTTGTGGACCTTAAAATGATTCTGTTCGGCCCCTGACCAAAGATCCACTACATTGACAATTTGGCCAACAAAACTGACAAACTGAGTCAAAAATATTTGGAAATGGTTTCCTTCTTTTAATAAGGCAACAGTTCAAAGCACTTTTTATGTTTTGGATCTTTAATTATGCACCAATTTCACAAAAGAAAAAATTATTGTTGAACAGGTAAAAGTAAAGAAAACAAACCCTAATAAATACCTTTTTGTATTTTTAAGTATTTTGGGGTAAAACTCAGTAAGTTTGCCAGTTTTGGCCATGCTGCCTTGATTATTCCATCCCAAAACCTTAATTTCCTTTTCTTTTTGTCATGTTGAGGTTGGATTTGATGAAGCAACCCAGGGCTTTGCAACAGGACTTATGACAAAACAGTTCTGACCTTTGTCCCACTTTAATCTGAGAATTCTGATTTTTTTTGGCTCATCAGAATTATTTGTTTTCTAGTCTTGCAATATAAATAAAGATCACATAGCACCAGGATGGCCAGACGACTCTTGACATGCCTCAGTCAAGACAGCAATGGCGAATCAGAAAATCTTTCCGTCTTGCATACAAATGAGCATTTCTACATAAAATTAAGCAAAGACAAATATCTGTGGAAAAAAAATACACAAACTCATTTTTTTAAAGTAATATCATTCTTATTAATCACAAACATTTTTAGAACAACACTTATTTCAACAGCTGCTGCTTTTAATACTGAGGAATCATTTGGAAGCCATGAGAGAACATCATGGCGAGGTTCTGGTCACACATAGCGAGGCGGCCATCAACACTGAGCAGCCAGTAACTCATGCAGCAAAGGATCACCAGCACGGAGTCTCATTCAGTGACAATGCGGCAGCTTGCAAAACGCAGCTCCACGTCCGAATTCATCTCTCCTCAGGCAGCGGCGCTGGAGTTCCCCACGTCAGACACCACCAAACTTCTACTATACGGAAGTACTTCAGAGGCGACGTGCAGAATAGAAACAAAACAAAAAAGGCAAAATCCAAGATTCTCAGGAATATTTTTCTACAGGCTGCTATCGAGTTATAATAACAATAATAAAAAAATCCCTCCTTAGGTGATTTCAGTTTCACTTCCCCGCTTTGAACCCCTTTAGGAAACTGCTGTCAAATTTGTGAGGGAAGGACGGATCCTGTGTGACGGCAGCGTTTGTCTGTCTCTGCTGGGCTCACGATCACGGTATGGTGAAAACGGCACAGCGTTCACTACAGGACGGCCAGCGACACGAAGGGAAGCGTGACAAAAACAACGGCGGCGTCTGCCAGCGCTCTAATCACAAACGTCTAAACACTCCTTTCTGCTGTCGCTTTTGTCTGCCCAGCAGATGCTTTTGTCACGGTTTCCACAAAGCAACAATATATATCATCTGACATCAAAATTGGGTCCTCGTTATGGCTCCGCTCAAATACATACTTGACAAAACGGCGCAGAGGAAAACAAAACAAGAAAAACACGACAAAAAAAAACAAGAGCATCTCAGAGAAAAGGAGACAATAGCTTAGTCTGTGTGGCAGCTTTACATTCTTGGCAATAACAGCACCTCTTTAAAGTTCTGAAGGAGAGCAGACATCCACCTCAAGATGCACAGGACTCTAAAGTTTCACTGAGAAAATACAGTTTGATAGATTGTTTTTTCTTTTTTCTTTTTTTAAATACAGGAGAATAAAGACATCCCATAGTTCTAAACATGAACACTATCTGCAGAGTGAATCAACACACACGTTGCACCATCGATTAGGTAAAGACAGCACGCTGTTCCAGCGTGAGACCACCGTGTGGTACTGTGTTCAGAGGGTTCTATCACTAACATGTTGTCTTAGTGACAGAACGTTCTCCGCCGGGTTCGGTTCTCTGATCTGGCTTTGTGAACACCACCGTAGGCTGGGGTTGGCGTTGGGCTTCAGGGTGGAAGGGGCTGAGGACAGGCAGCGGCCCGCTCCCAGAACACAGCCTGCAGTTAAAGGCTCCTGCAAGAAAAAGGAAAGCCATCAGCACAATGGCAGCCGCACCAGGTGGACAAAACAGGAAACCAGGATGTCAGATCTGAGCTCTGCACTTCCGCCTTCAGCAGGTCTGATGTAAGAATGAAGAATCATGGGAAATATGAAGCACCTGACTTAATAACAGGTCAACAATGTCTTAAATAACCCATTTGTGAGGGGGAGCCATTGTAAAGTTACACTATAAAAAATGAACTGCAGTGTTTTGGTTTCTTTAGCCTCTCAGACAGTGGGAAAAAAAGAAGTGTTCATTTTTCAAAGTCACATTTTCACCAAGTTATTCACAAACTTATAATTATCAGAGTTCCAAAGTTAATATTTAACAAAGCTTTAGCTAAAAATATTTATTTTAACTACATATTTAGTTCCAAAGTAAATATTAAATGTCTACATTAGGTGTGACCTCAATGTTTAGATTACTAACAAAATATTGAACATGCTAATTAACTAACTTGAAAGATTTCAATTAGTTAGCAAGCTAAATATTTAGCACTCAGCTAAATATTTAGCTTGCTAAATAAATATTTAGGAATAAAACTAAATACTTAGCAACTGAAATATTTAACTTTCCAACTGACTTAAAACTTTAAAAAGTACTTAGCAAGCTAAATCTTTAATTTACTAACAAAATATCTAGTCAGTAAGTTAAATGTTTTACTTGCTAACTAACGAGCTAGCTACAGAGCTAGCTTGTGAATTAAATAGATTGAAACTGACATCAATAAAAATATGAAAAACATTGTGAAAACATGACTTTGAAAATTGGAACATCTATTTTATTTCTCTATGGCTAAAGAAACCAAAATATTGCTGTTAATTATTTTTACTCTATAATTTTACAAATGACAACACATAATTTTGACCACAAAAACAAGATAAATGTGCAAATATTAGCCAAATTGTAAATTCTTCCAATTTACTAAGCTTAGCAAAAATATTCAAATGTTTTTCTTTTTCTCTTTACATGTTGTAACATTACAACCACAAGCATCTCTAACAAACCTCTAAGACCTCCACAGAACAGCCGGGTGTAAAATAAAATGAGTCCCCACACAGGTGGACTCTGTTTAGTGATTGGGAAGCTGCTGAACACACTTTTTTTTATGGGCATCATAGTAATGTGGGCTGAAACAAAGTGCAGCTTCTCTGCTACTTCACAGCTATCTACAGGCTTGTGTTGGACCGACACATAAAACCCAATGAGGTACATGAAAGCTTGTGGTTGAAAATGTGGCAACGTTCAGCGGGAATGAAGGCACTGCATTCTAACATCACTTTATTACGAAGTCAAAATGTCTGAAGGCAGCCAGAAAACATTTATTATTACTGCAATGTTTTCAAAATGTGTGGATACATTTTTGCCCCACAGCCTCTTTATTGATGAATATGACCATGTCATTTTGCATTCTAGTTGTTTAATTAGCCTATTTAAGAAAACACTGGTCTCCAACTTAGCAGTAAGATAATTCTCTGTGGGGGTAAGATGGTACAAAAGAAGAAGAGTCATTCCTCCAAAGGGAAATTAGGCAAATTTCTTTCCCGTCCATTATCTCCACTTGCCTTTTTTCTTTTAATACACTGATTAGTTTCACTTGTGAAGGCCTTTAAGAATTATTCAAATCAAACAGCCTGGGAAACGAAAGAACGCAATTCGACTGAACTGCTCACAACTCATATTTATTTATACGCGAGCTGTGATTGGAGCCCGTAAGGAGTCATTGATGTTTTTCAAAGAACCAAAAGCCACAAAGGCTTTCAGAAGACCTAAAGGTATTTCTGGCACAGTTACAGTTATTAAAGCTCACTTATTGATCTCTTTATTTCCAAAATAAAATACTAAAGGAAATAAATAAGGCAAAGAAATGGGCTTAACAGCACCTGTGCTGCAGTTCGTGGATAACATGTTCTTGGATATGACCATATCTGCAGTAACATGTTGCTGTGCTGCTGGTTGACCTATGAAAGATGATTCCATTGCGCCTCATTTATATTGAGTGCTACAGATCACTATTTTGTTTGTTTTCATTGAAAAAGTGGCCCATACAATTAACCTGTATTGTATGGGCCAACTTACAGGTTGTAAGTTCGTAGGTCTATGGTACCATATGGTTACGGTCAACTACTGGTATCACGTAACACTGTCCACTGATTGGAGGACCGAAGAAGGTCACTGCTTGAAACACACAAGATGAACTAGTGGGTTATGTTTGACGTCACAGTGGTAGTTACAATGCTACATGTTTGAATTTAAGCCCTTCTGCCCAGTGAGAGTCAAATTGGCAGTGGAAAAGCTCTTCTAACATGCAGACCTTAAAACAGCGTACCGACCCGTACCGACCCGTACCGACCCGTACCGACCTATGCCATACCGCTACGTGAACCAGGAAAGGGTTTCTCTCTAGTTACTGTGTAAACCTGACCTGTTTCTAAAGATCAGTCAGTCAGTCAGAAGTGGCATCTTTCAAATTATTGCAGAACACTGATTTCCAGAGTTTGGACCAGAACTCAACTCTGGATCCTGAACCAACATAGTTCTAGAAACCACATCAATGGAAAGTAATGCAGCTCGTCTTAATGAAGTGTATCTGATTCTACTGCCAATAAACATTCATCCAACTGCCTACTACAGTTCACTTTGACTTTTCACACAACACAAATCAGGCTGATTGTATCACAGGTTGTGTGTGTTTTCAGACTAACCAACTGATCATTTGCGAAAAAAGGTGTGTAGCTTTTAACTTACTATGGTAATCTCAGCAAAATACATGCGGTAATAAGATACATGCCTCGTACTCTGAAATATTATGCATATCATAAACCTCAAATCATCTTGAATATAAAATTGAGTTCACTGAACTCTGCTGGCTTAACCAAAGTCACCAAATCTCAGCCCAGCACAGTGAACCTCAGCCTGTTTGCAGCTCGGTGTTTACAAGTCTATCTACATACATGCAAGACTTTCAAGGATTTTTCCACAAAGTACATCTCAAGTATTTGAAAGAAAATGCAGTTTGTGAAGCTGGAATACCAAATCAAAGTCACTGACAAGCTATGGACTGGCTTTTGAAAATCAACCGATCCAGGAGTGCCGTTTCATTTCCTTACTGGTGGTCGACTGCAGGAGTTTTGTTTCAAATAAAGTAACTACAAAGTGCAAACTTTTGCATGTCGTCAGAGACCTCTGCATCTGCTGTGTTTGGGATGAAGAGAGGATGCGTACCTGACACAAAAATAACTCCCAACTGCACAATTCTGCCAGATTGCTCCTTCATGTCTTTAGAGCAATACGCTTCATGAATGGAGGGCAGAAATAAAGATGATGGTAAAAGTCAGATAACTGCAGAAGTAGAGGAGATAGCAGTGCGTCAAGACTTTTCCTCTCAGTGTTTTACACGTGGAAGAACATCTGGTAGGCTCTACCAGGAGCTGCAGCCTGTCTGCTCTCTGCCTTGCCCAATAGATATCACAGAGACTTCAGGAGTCATCCAGAGCCAAACAGGTAGTTCTTAACAAGCGAAAATCAATTACTGCTACGGGAGATCTGCAAAACGTGGAGAGATGTCAACCACAAGTAGAAGAGGAATGCAATAACAGCGTCTCTCTCACCTGGTTATAGATGGACATCAAATACTCCCTCCTCGACCGTCTCTATGTCCTCTTCTGCAATGACTGATGGAGACAGAGAGAAAGAAAAGACTGAGAGCGCGGAACACCTTTGCGCCATTCTGGTTCAATTATCAGGAAATTCTGTGTCCTCCAATCAGCCAGAGAGGAAAGTAGTAAGCTAATTATATTTAACTATAAGATCAAATATAAAGTCTCGCAAAAAAGGCACCTGGCCTGAATCTCTCCCGTCATTGTGGAAGATTCACCGAACAGAGAAGTGTGTGATGCTGGGAATGTTGCACCAGATTGGATACTGAATGAATTCAAACTCAGAAATTTTGAGATCAATCTAAGAAATGTTCGTGAGGGAAAAAAGCTCAGGAAATGTCAAAAATCTTTGACTTCTGAAACTCAAAGGTTTTTCTAGAAAATTTTAGGGATCAATCTCAAAATTTCAGTTATTTTGAGCAAATTTTCAACTTTTCAAATTCAGAACTTTTCTTGATTTGTGCTAGAAATTTTCCGAGATTAATCTAAAAAATTTCAGTTATTTTGAACTTTTCAAACCCAGAAATTCTTTTACTTTGTCCAGAAAGTTTCTGAGGTTAAACCAAAACATTTTGGCGTTTTTGTCATAAATGTACCCCTTTATTTTCCCATCTACACTGGCGCTAATACGCCGTCGTCCTCACCTGTGTTCTGCAGGCTGGGCGGGGTGTTTGCGGGTGGTGGGAAGCTGTAGGACCGGGCCTGCAGGGCAGGCGGAGTCTCATGGCTGATGCTCTTGGTTCTCTTCCTGCACTCCACGGCCAGGCGGCTGCGGCAGGCCTTGTGGCAGTTGACCCCGCAGGCTGCAGCCGGGGGTGTGACACGGCGAGCGAGGGACGCCGGCAGGGACAGGTGTCGGGAGAGGAGGAGAAGACGGCGAGTCGGGTGGAGCGGCAGGGAGGATCGGCGACAAGGGAATGTCCATTTGTTTGGGGTTGCGGGGGAATGAAGACGAAAGACAGGGTCAGACAACGGGACGGGTCCAAACCGAAGCATGGGGGTGAATGGGCGAGCTAGTGGTGACAGAAAAGTGCTTTGGCACGGCATGCAGACACACGAGCACTGGCACACACACACAGACAGGTCAACCGTACTCAACAGTAACTCCGTGAACTGGGAAGAGTCTGAGAGGAGCGGGAGCAGCAGTGGTGGGTCATCCAGCAAGATGAATATTTACCTTCAGTTATATCAGAAATTATTCGTGAGTCTTGAACTTTTTCCCAGTATGTCATGTTATGCTTAGAAACTTTTAATTTACACATTTTGGGCAGAAACTCTCCATCCACTCAGACCTAACTGGAGCCCAAGGTGGATCGATATAATGAGAAAATGATTGATTTCTAGAGTGGATCAATACCACCGTGTTAAGATTGATATTTTAGATTTACATTGGGACTTGAAATTTTATTTTATATTTGTGCTGCAGTTTCTCAACTCAACAAAACATTTACTTTTGACTTGCTTATTTTCAATGGTTTTTGTTTATCATGTTAATATGTTCGGAAACACATAGAAACTATGTCAAAATTCTGTCCTTGGTTTTAACAAAATAATTCAAAAGAAAAAAACTATAAAAACACCTTAAAGTCAGAAGTTTCATGATATATCAAACAAAATGGTATAAAGTATTGATACTGCCGTCGGTACTGGCTCTGTATTTACTTGATATCATATTAATACCAAAATCATGCAGTATCACTAATTTGAGCGACACCAGTATCCATGCAGGTTAGGGACCACAGCCCGCAAAAAGCTACAATTCACAAATACTTGGTACTCCCTCTAAAGCTGCTTATCGTAATACTTCAAACACCAAATTAACTTCATATGCATTAATACACAATGGATACCATCAAAATTCAAAAGCGAGCATCCACAATCTTCTTTATACTGCTGAGTGGTACAGCCAATCTGATTGGCTAACGACAGCACTGCCTTGATTCCTCACCTTTCCAAGCTGCATTTTCTTTCTAATATTTTCAATATGATCTAGAAGAAAAAGAGCAAAAAGGAAACTTTGCAACTAATATGAAAAACCCATGATTTTGTGAATACTAAACCGCAAATAGGTAATTGTCCTCTAGAGCTATAAGATGCAATATATTTAGCTACCAGTCTGATACCAAATTAGTAATGGGCCAATATTACCGATATTGATACTTTTTATTATTCAAGTGTGGTATATTAATGAGCTTCTGACCTTTAAGTGTTTTTTATTATAATAATGCTTTTGAATTATTTTGTTTAGCCCTAATATAGAATTTGGGCAAAGTAATTTACTTTGATAACATATCATACAACATGACTTGTGTGCATTTTTCTTAAATAAACAAAGTGCAACAAAATTATGATTTGAAAGAAAATTGAAGCAATACAAAAAATTGTACAAAATTTCAAAAGAGAATATGAAACTATAGTATGTGATACTGGATACTAATAGATACTTTGGATCAATTCACCCATCTCTAACAAAAACTACAATCCTCTAAATGTCCAAAGCTTCCTAGCACAATGTGGCTCTACAGAGTACTGACACACTGAAAGCCATGTATCCGTTTTGTCCTACTCCACCGAAACACACTACTTCACGTTTGATGGATAAAATCCTAATAAAATCAGTTGAAGTTTCTGACAAAATGCGAAGAAGTTCTAGATGTGTGCATGGCTCTCTGAGACTCAAACAGCTGTAAGTCGAATGTCTGAGAGACAGATATGGGAGTCGGATCAAATATTTCTCAATAAAAGAAAAAAGTGAATGCTGTTGCTGCAGAAATGTCAAGCTAACTGAAAAAGTCTGCAAACCCCCCAAATCAGGGCTATTTCTGTGGCTGTGCGTTGGAGTAAAAGTTAGAATGAACTGTGACAGCATTGCACCCAGTCACACACCTAAAGGCTTCCTATAGTTAAGTCTGAAATGCCTGACATCTGCTGCTCCGACACACACCCAGCAACCCACTCGCAGTCAGAGTCCTCCCACTCCTGCAATGCACCACAGTGGGTGATTCATTTCAATTACACCCCTGGCGCTCTGTCTCCCTCCCTGAGTACAGCCTAACAATGGTAATGGGGATGAATGGCTGTGGGCCTCTCTCATTGACTTCCTCCGGTCTCATTAATGGAACAAGCCAGAACACACTGAAACTCCCAGTCAGACTACAGGCCTCTGAGTGGAGAGGATATTGGAAAGTGTGGCGGTAGCAGGGGGGTTGAATGGGTGGGAGGTGTGTGTGTGTGTGTGTGTGTGTGTGTGTGTGTGTGTGTGTGTGTGTGTGTGTGTGTGTGTGTGTGTGTGTGTGTGTGTGTGTGTGTGTGTGTGTGTGTGTGTGTGTGTGTGGTTGTGTGTGGGTGTACCCACTGCAGAGACATCAGTCCTTTTTATGGGTGTGATTGTGTTTGACCCGCACTTAGCCTTCTCTGTAATACCAAAAGCCAAATGTGGACCGTCCTTTTATCTGTTAAAAAATGTGAACTTAGATTGATTTCACTTTCTTAAAGGGGAAGTATTGTGTTTTCTACTCACATAGCACCATTTATAGCACAATGAAGTAACTACCTTACTGTCAGTTACAATAAAAATAATAAACAAAAGTGTGAAATATTGCATTCTGTAAATAATGTATTACTGAAATACTGAGTGACTTAAAAAAATTGTACATTTCACAAATTTAAATTTTTTGAGATGTGTTTGAGGGGGTTTTATTGAGGGATGTTGTTTTTTGGGGGTTGGGGGAGGTTTACCGCTATTGCACATCTTAAAACTATATATTGACATTATTAGCAAGACATCTGAAAGTGCCTGGAGAACATCAAGCAAACCCAAAACTTTCAAGTTTTTCCACATATTGTCTAGTAAAATCAACTATGAATACACTTTGACCTACACTAGTCAGTTAGATGCTAACCACCAATCCACACTTTCCAGTCCTTTATTCCTAGAAGGTTTTTGGAACCACAGTTTCCCTGTTGCTTCACATTGCGGTACTGCTTTGTCTTTGCAACGTGAAACAAAAAGAAGTGGAAAAGTTCAAAGGTTTTGGAATACTTCTGGGATCAGTTTGTGCTAATGAACAAATTAGCCTTTGAGTAAACACGTCTATTTTTCTTGTCTCCAATATTCGAGGTGCAGAGCGTTGTGAAAACTGCGTCTAATGGCCCCGGCGAACACTAATTACCCTGGCTGCTATGCAACGGAAATGTTTGATGAAGGCTCGCCAGCGATTTAATAAGCAATGGTTAGCAAACCTGAATGCCTAAATGGATGAGGAGGATGTTAATAACGAAATGATATGTGGACGATACAAAAATCTCTGATTTTTCCAGAAAGGACTCACTGGAATTCTTTCCTGTTGTAGAGTTTGGAGAATTTACTGAACAGAGGTGGAGCGGTTTGTTGCAAACTAACGAGCTAATCGTCCAAGCCACTCTGAGTGTAGACTAGCAGAGGGGTCATTTGTCTTCAATCGCCTCCCACTAAAACCGCAGCAGACGAAAAACTTCCCGAAACCTGCCATCACTCCCTGAGTTTTTCCTCACATTCCATTTGCAGTGTTAAGTTATTTCCAGAGTGTAGCATCTGCAGTTCATCACCGGCTCGGCACAAATCACTGACAGCCTCTCCCCAGTGCAAAGACGAAGGCTAAGTCAGTGTTTAAGAAGGGAGTGTTGACGGGTGAGGAGGTGTTGGAGGTATGTGTGTGTGTGTGTGTGTGTGTGTGTGTGTGTGTGTGTGTGTGTGTGGTGTGTGTGTGTGTGTGTGTGTGTGTGCGTGTGTGTGTGTGTGCATGTGTGTGTGGGGGTGGGTGTGTGTGTGTCAAACACAAATCTATACGGAGGCCGGAAGGGCAAATCCAGGCTTTATGTGTGCACATGGAGTAAAACAGAATGATCCTGTACAGCTGGTGAGATGGTGGCTCTGTGTGTTCTTGACATTTACTCTGTATATACGTATATGAGTTAGAGGGGAGATCAATGGGATCAAGAGATTCTCAGGCGGCCGCAGTCTGCCGAGTGGAACAAGAACATCTGCTCAGAGAATTGTTGTCTTACCTTTACACTTGTAGCCTTGTTTGTAAAAGCCCCATATCTATAAGAAAGAAAGGACAAGACACAGAAAGAAGGCGGTTGGTGAACGGGTAATTACGACACCTGAACGGAAATGAATGGAGAAAACACAGCGGTATGCAGTGACATGTTAAACTTTATCACATTCTGCCAGCTTCCACAAACCACAAACGTCAGCGCGTTTTGTTGGGACAACTTTAATTAGATTATAATAGTACAAGATTTAGAGAATCCTTCATAAATAAAGATCAAGGAGAAACCTTTGATCTTTTTTCTTTCCCTTCACAATAATGCACCATTTTGTGTTGCTGTATCAAATAAAATCCTCCCAACTGTAACATTATGGTAAAGGCAGTAGTGGACACACTCATGCACACTTAGTTTCCCCTGAATACATTTTTCCAGATGGATTCAGAACATTGTAAAAGAAGTTTACAACATTTTGCAAACTTTCAGTTGAACATATTTTTTAATTAGTTAGACGTTTATATTCAGGAACAGGAAGACGTTCAGCAGACCCCAGGAAGGCAGGTAAATTAATCATGGTCAACTTTCACCTCCGCCTATAATGGAACTGAACAGGTTCAGTTGGATGGCAAACTTTGCGCAAGAGTATTGAATGTTTTTTTTCTTGTTTTTCAAAAACAGAAAGAACACAACCATGTTCCCTACAAATATTCATTTTAAATAGAGGCTATACAGAAAAAAACATTCCATAATAAGGCTTTCAAGTGTTTCACTTGTACAAAATAAAACTCTGTCCAATTACAACTGAAAGAAAATAGTATTTGGAATTATGGTAATTATAGTTCTCAAAGAGAAGCAGCATCCTCATTTCATTCCACCTCAGCATGATCCTCCAGCTGCAACGTGACAGATGGGTCCCGCAGACCATAATGACGGATGTTTGGTTACAAGAGTTTTATTTTTTATGTCCCCTTCATACACAGTAAATGCCGTAATTCAGAGCCACATGGAAGGAAAGTTAAATTCCTTGTTTGTGTACATAAACTTTGCAATAAACCTGATGGAAATATAATGAAAAATGGAAAAAAATGGAAACAATTGGCTCATTTCATAGTTGGCAGTTTGGATCTTTAAACATCTTGAACATTCCAATGATCCTCAGACCTACGACTGATACATTTCTAAAAGTGGGATGAACTGTGAACAGCAGAGGCCGTTTCCTTCTGCTAGGACTGCTGACATTTATGCCACACCAAGTGCTAACAACATGACAAAAACAGACGATGCTGAATATGAAGATGATGAATAGTCAGAACACCAAACCAAACGTCACATCAGGACAATTTGTTCAACATAATAATTCAGAGAAACACGTCAAAAATGTTCAGCTGAGCAACGGAGAAGATTCTGCACAGAGAACAGAGAGTTGGATGAAAGAGGGAGTGGAGCGAGGTGTGTGTGTGTGTGTGTGTGTGTGTGTGTGTGTGCATGGGTGCGTGCGTGTGGGGGTGTGTGTGTGCGTGCGTGTGTGCGTGTGTGTATGTGTGTGCGCGTGTGTGTGGGTGTGTGTGTGCGTGTGTTTGGGCAGGAGAGACTCAGGTCAGCGATGAGGAGGACATGATGACGTGATGCTGCAGAGAGCAGGAGAGGGTAGCTGGGGACATCTAGTGACACATTCAGGGAACAGGACAGAACAGAATGACACCAAATCGAAACAATTTGAATTTTACACGATAGACTAACATAAAGCGGCACGTATCTGTACCTAGAAATGTTATTCCCTGTGCTGCTCATTTCTACTAAGCCAACAAACCGTCCCCTAGGTGATTTCTAGACAGTTTGGGATAGAAGAGTTACAGAAAAAAATGTAATAAGGACAGATAGGATACATAACATTGGAGAAATAACACTGTAAAGTTATTATTTAGAAGTAATAAAGTCAGATCCAAACAAATAACTCAGTAACTGAGTGGGGATGTCTAAAAAACGTGTAATAGTGGAATATAAGTTCAGTTAACCCTGAGTATCTGATTTTACTCAGGGGTATTCGATTAAAGGGGCTGTCCTCATGTGCAAGCCATTTATGTCAGATTTTATTAACTGAAAATATTCAGAATCAGGTGTCACTTGTTGTTCAGGAGACTTCAGGAGATTTTGGTGAAAACGGTGGAGCCACTGCCTTCTGTTTCTAATCTCTTACAATTTTAGCTTTTGCTGAGCTGCGAAATTAAACGAAAGAAAATCAAACGCGCCCAGTTCAGTCCGCTTTAATGAGACTCCAGTTCGTTTGTCTAGAAAGTCCGGTTCGTTTGGGAGGTGAGAATGTGTACTGGAACTCTGATGTGGACCAAAAACTCTGATGTGTCTTGGTTTGGTTGAAGTGAACTCTGGTGGGGTTTGAATGCGTATGTGGATTCAAAAACAACAGCGCAGGGCATTCTGGGTAAATACAACCAAAACAACCGTCCTAGTTTTCCATTGCCAGGAGAAACGGCTCGTGGTTTTTAGGCAAACACAAAAGAAAAGTCCCAGACCTGCTCAAATCTGACACTGCTCCATTTTTGCTAGTATTACATGTAGAAAGAAGTTGGATTTATATTTTCTTCTGACGTTTTTATGTTGTTTCCTTCAGTAGTTTTTGGTACAGCGCCACCACAGGTGAGGAGTTGAACAGGTCTTTCTAAACGTTTGGGAGGCGAACCATAACAGCCAGAAATGGTAGGAATGCTGCGATTTTGGTTCCCAATCAAACCGAGTCTACCAAACTGTCAGGTATCAAATCACTCTAAAAATGTGTTGAAAACAGACAAAAAAAAAAAAAAAAGTAGATATGCATATTAAAAGACCCATTCATATTCAGAGAGATGAGGTGAGACTGGGGCCAGAGCAGAGGCAGAGCAGAGGGGGCTGGTGGAGGGGGATCCAGATCAAGCGGGGTGCAGGGGTGAAGGGGCCGGGGTGTGTATGGGTGGGAGGTTAGGGCTGGAGTGGGGGGGACAATAACATGAAAGAGCCGAGCTGGAGATCACACACAGCACTGGCACATCTGAGGAGGCACAAATATCCTGACCTCTCCACACTCCCACAACTACAGAGAAGCCATAAGAACAAATACGCCGCTAGCTACAAACGTACAGACACACATGCACACACACACACACACACACACACACACACACACACACACACACGCACACACATCACACACACACACACACACACACACACACACACACACACACACACACACACACACACACACACACACACACCACACAGGCAGGGCCTGCGCAACAAAGAGAAGACAAACATCTAGACACCGGCATCATCACAGCTCAGCCTACACACACTGACCTTTGCTGCTGTTGGAGTCGGTGAAACACAATGAAGCTCACACAGGAGTCAGAATTACGCTCACTTGTTAGCTTCAACAGCTGACTGCACACTTATTGGTTTAGGTGACTTTTCAGCTTTACGACAGCTTTTAAATTAGCATGCTAATTTTACATGTATTTAAATGTAAGAACAGTTAATCTAAACTCAGCTTATTCTTTTTTCAAGCTGACCATTTTTAAAATCCTTTCTTTTATTTTTCCACCCAACAAAAAGTTGCGGTTGAAGCACATCGATCTGCAAAAATCACAAAACAAGATCTTTAGCCACTGCGGGCTTTAGCAGTTTTTTTACATAGCCTCTCTATTTGGAGCCTCTTCCGGTTTCCTATCAGCTGCAGCATCACCAAAACAGGACAGATGACCTGCTAAAAGCTCACAGTGACTCAAAGATACAATGTTGACCTTTCCCAGCTGAGAACGCTCCAGAACAATGTGTCTGGAACAATGTATATGGAAACTACCTTGATTTTTCTCATGATGCAGACCAAAACAGTCTGGATGTGATGAAAGATTTATGATGCAGATGGATCTTAAGAATTAATGTATCTATTGCTGACATATGCAGCCTGTGGCATTCAATGACTTTGGCCAAAAATAATAAAAATGTCATAAATACTTTAGCGTACCAGTTTTTTCTAGGCGTTTTTGTCCTAAATATACATACATTTCTGCAAAGAATGACCCTATTTTTTATCGTTTCACTTGAAATTTAAATGTTGCAAAGCAGAAAATGTATTAAACCTTAAAACAAAAGTAAAAAAGTCTTTCCTAAATTTTGGGAATTCCCTATAGTAGCTAACATGAAAACATGTTCCAAAGAGTTGGATTGTAAAGGTTGCAAAACCCTGATTTATTACCTGCAAGCATTTGGGTCTGACCAGGGCAAGTTTAGCCTTTTCAAGAAGATTGTAAATGGAAGAGGGAGCCATATGAAAGATAAAAGGAAATAAAGTGTTGGAACCAGAATGTTGAAATGTGATTGGTAGATTGGTAGAAATTTTATCCAAGCCTCACAAAACCTTTGTGTGAAATTGTAAAAGGAGACTTTAAAACGTGTATAAACCTGCTGCTTTCATGTTCACATTGTCGCCCCTGGAGCAACTAATCGGAAACAGCAAGGCTGGCAGGTCAGACCTGGAAACATCGACGTTTCACTTTCAGAGCTACACCGGTTTGGCCCGCAGCGGTCACGTTAACACAGACAGGCCCAGCAGCAGTGGGCTGCTTTAGCTTGTTATCTGATTTTTTCTTTTCTGTCTTTTTTTTCTGAGGTCAAATCATGTTAATCTATCCAAAAAAATAAAGGATGCTCTCAATACTTCCCTCCTCCATGGATAAACCTTCAATAATTAGCGGCGGCATGTGTTTGCCAGAGCATCTGATCCTAATGAATGAGAGAACAGGGTCTGAAATAGAGAGAGCTCTGACTGAAGCGTGTGCTCTGGCATAATGTAGACATATTTTATTCTATTTAAAGAAAAAAAATGTTTCTGTGAAATAAGCTAATCGGAACTGTAATTGATCCACCCACTTAATCTGCTAGGCATATATAAACATAATGTGTGAGATGTCAAGCAGGATCTTCTCCAGAATATTTTTCAGCACATTCTCAGAATAAGTCTCATTGATCTTATTTGAATAAGTAAAAATGATCTTGTTCTGAATTAAAGTACACTAATTTTAAGGGATTTCCAAGCAGAGCTGTTGCAAAAAGCAATAAAACAATTAATTGCACGATAAATGAAAACAAACTCAATAATTTCCACTTGCATGATATCTTGTTTTTCTCTTTTTCCACCTAAAACTGGATGATAAAAATCCTCAGTCTAGTCAGTCGCTTTTGTTTACACAGACTATATTTTATGCGTTATTTCATTTATTGATTTTGGATATTGTGAATGTCTTCCATTTCCAGTGTTAAATGTTCATTAAAATTTAAAGTTCATTTGTCTTTGAGAATATGTTCTTGCATTATTTATGCAATAACCATTATATCACTTGAAAATGGCCTTAAAATCCTCATGTTCTCTCTCTGTCTTTTCCCAATCACTTTATTTCAATCAAGAAACATTAACAAAATAAAACAAAACCATGGAGATGAAGATATGAACAAATATAATAACTAAGAGCTTCATAAAACAAGTAAAATATAATGTAAAAATGAAATTGGTGATTGAGGGTTGTAGTCTTTGAAGGGCAGATAATTTCAAATAAAGTTCGCATTAAAGCGCTTTGACATTAGCTTCCATTAAACTCCCTGCACTTTAGGCCTAGCACTTTAGGTTTAATGGAACAAACTTTTTGAAACCAGTCACTGAAAGAAGTTTCCTTTCCCACAAACTGAACATTCCTTTTTGATGACTAAATGGTATGTGTGGACCGAGTCTGCCCAGCTCGTTTAGATTTCATGCTAACTAAATTGTGAGAAGCTCAAAGAGACTCTGAGATGCAGTCTGTCTTACAGACACACTCCGAGCCTTTAGCGTCCTCTGGAGATGCCGACACACACATTCTGCTGTGTGTCCGCTCGCTCTGTGTGTTTAGTAAAACTCATCTGCGAGCCATTAATTAGGACCGAAGGAGGCTGCAGGCGGAGCAGCACAAGATTCAGATGACCTGTGTGTGTGTGTGTGTGTGTGTGCGTGTGTGTGTGTTTGTGTGTGTGTGTGTATAAAACACTGGGGGCGGGAGGGAGTGTGAACTCTGCAGTGTTTACTGGAGGCCTGGCTCCATTCGAGCAGCATATTTGAAACAAGTGCTGGGATGAAAAAAAAAATTAAATAAATACCAGGCTGCAGGGGAAAATATTGTTTTTACAGAGGAGCCAAGAGGAAGGCACAAAGCAGGCAGACCAGGATGCGGCTGGTGTATCTACCTCTGTCACACACACACACACACACACCCACACACACACACACACACGGATATGTTCAAAGCACAGAGTCCTTATCTCTCCATGCTCTCTATTCTGAATTTCCCCTCAGGATGAGTGGAAAATGTCAGCCTCCCTGAAGAATAAATGTGTGTACAGCAGCAGTGTTGGAGTTTTAATGAAAGTCTGTGCATATAATCTTCTGGGCACTCTGCCGCCTGAACGCAACACAAAGAGACCAATCAGAAACATCCAGAGCCGACTAAAGCCACACTCCTCTTCCTGACTCACAACACACACACACACATATATATATATATATATATATGTATACATGTAAATATATATATCTATACATAGATATATACATATATAGATATAGATAATTCACAACATAATTCACAACAATTCACAAACATTAATTTGTGAATAAAATATCACTTATTCGTAGGGAGACTTTAGAGACCAATTAACTAAACAGTGGTGATTTCAGATTTGACAGGAAGCCGGAGCGCCCGGAGAGAAACCTGCAAACAGGAAACCTGTCAGATCTTATCCTTATCTTATCCTTTTGTCCCATAAATTTAAGTCAGACACATTTTGGTCCCAGTCAAATTTCTCCAGCCTCAAAATGGTTACTAATTACTGAATTTAATATTTTTAGCTCCTCTCCAAAGGCACCTTTATCATCTTCCAGAGGAGGCGCTGGAGAAACAGTAAATGATGATGTCTCATCATTTCTTGACTTCTCATAAATGTAAATCAATCTATTTTGGAACATGTCTTCACTGCGGTCACTGTCTGCAGTGAAGACATGCTCGTCAGCCATCACGGTTTGTTCCCCTTTTATTAAACAAGAGTAGAAGTTGGTTGGCTTTGAATCTCCACAGATAATCGAGGACAGGTGGTACCTCTCCGTTCCACATTCATTCTGCAGGAACATCCATGGTCTGATTGGCAACTACTTGGTGTCACCTGGTCGACCTATGCAGAAAAAACATCAGCACGTTGTTATCAGCCAGGCAGTGTTTTTTCTGTAAGGTTGACCCGCAGCCTGAACAGCAACGTTTGCCCCCCAGATCCAACAAACTGTTAAAAAGTGAAACTGTGTCAGAACGTTGCGGGTGGAAGGGCAACCAGGGGCCGTTGTTCAGTAGCTCAAGGAAAGTAGTTTTACAGTTTGAGCAAGAGTTTTTGTTGTATAACTCCATCTGTGTCACCACCAAAAGAATCCAACCAGACCAACAGGGACTCCAGCAAACATTTGATGTCAGTCCTTTCCCACGTCTGACGGCAGTTTCTTCTCTCTCAGTCTTTTTGAGAAGAATGTTTGCCGGGCTGATGGACAGCTGAGAGGATGAGACTCACACAACACGGGACGGACGATGTCTCCAGAAAAACCCCTTCCTGAGCGGGACACCTCCTGGTGATGCTCAGGTTTAGGACACTCTGGAATGCAGCGTTCACCCAGCTGTTGTGGAGTTTGTTGGAGAACTTAAAAGAAGTTCCTCCGTTTGTCCTTGTCCTGCACCTGCTGCCCTCTCTACATCTGGGATATCCAAGCCAACGCTCTGAATTAACGTCCGGGAAACAGTAAACCTTGAATGCAATGATAATCCTACCTGTTCTTTGGGACAAATTACTGACTCCGTTTTTGTCTGAAATAATTTACCCGTCCTAGGAACTTAATATTTGACAGACGCTTGTAAAAGTGCTCTTCAGAAAACTCTTGTCTGGAAAGGAAAGAGATGGAACCAACGAAACCAAAGCTTGAGCTGTCACTTCAGCCACAGCTTTGCCTGCAAGGTCAGCCGCAGACAAATCTTCCCCAGCCAGGTCGGTTTGTCCAGAGACAGTACCGTCGTCCTCTGTACTGTCTCGTATAGTCCGAGTCGGGTCAGAGTCTGAGGTCCCACAAACATCTGTCGCCTTTTCAGAATAAACCTTCACAGCCGGGTCTATTCCAGGATGTAGACATGTGCAGGAACCTCCACAGTGTCAGTAAAACAGAGTAGGATGCCTTAGTAGGTGCGCGTGTGCGTGTGTGTGTGTGTGTGTGTGGTGTGTGTGTGTGTGTGGTGTGTGGTGTGGGTGTGTGTGTGTGTGTGTGTGTGTGTGTGTGTGGGTGTGTGTGTGTGGGGGTGTGCATGTGTGTGCGTGTGTGTGTGTGTGGGGGGGGCGTGGGGGCGTGTGTGTGTGTGTGTGTGTGCGTGCGTGTGCGTGTGTGTGTGTTTGTATGCAATCTATATGACGACATATACACACACAGAGGTGACACCGCCACAGAAGAGGGTTATCATTTCACCCAATTACCTTTCTTCTATGTTTCCCAGAATGCAACTGGAGCTCAGAGTAATTGGCATTGGTCTGACCTGACACGGAGGAAAAGCCTGGGAGAGACGCTCCATCACGACTGTGGAGGCAAATAATGATGTGCAAATAGTCCCCCCCAACCTCCCCAATAGGTATGAGATGACATGGAGAGCGTGTCTGACCTTTGACCTTTGAAAAGAAATGACACCAGGTATTGACAGACGGGATGAAAGCGATCAACAATAAAATATGGACGAATGAAGCAAAGATCGATACGTCCTGAAAGAGCAAAACATAAAACAAAAATCATTTTAAAGATCCACTGACATCAGTTACAGACGTTTTATGTCAAGTTGGTGATAAATTGGTTTCTGAACTGAAAAAGATTTTTAGTTTTAAATTTAAAAATTTTCCAGTTGAAAAGCCATCATAAGTGATGAAAATATATTTTTTATATAAGAAGGAAGGAAGAAAGAGAAAGAAAAAATAAAGAAAGTTACAAAAAGGAAGGCAGAAAGGAGAGGAGGGAAATGAAAAAGAGAGAAAGGAAACAGAAAGAGGGAAAGGAGCAAGGTCAAAGGAAAAGATGTGAAAGGTAAAAAATCCTACAGAGGAACAAAAGAGAGAAAGTTGGAAAATTACAAAGGACTGAAAGAAGTTAGAAACAAAATCTGGAAATTCAAATATTTTTCTGTATTCTTATTTTTTTTTTATCCATAATTATCGTAGAAAATACTGAAACTAAATCCACAACTTTTGCAGATTTTATACGTTGCAGACAAAACTCAGACGGTACTGATGAGCCAAAACACACTCATCAGAAATGATCGTGTTCAAAGTGACATGAAAAACTCATGAAGCCAGAAAAAGACTTTTCCAGTAAGATTTGTCCTCTAATGATTAAATATTTGAACATCAGCTTTGACACTTTCAGCAAAATGTTGGGATGAAAATATCTTCAGCAAAGACTTGTGGTTTTTTTTCTTAACAGCACGGTTTCTACTGTGTGTTAATGCGCATTAAGATATATTTGGTGATAGAAACAGTCAGAATAGTTATAAGAAAGCACGAGAAAATGGTTTAAAAAAATAATGCCGATTTTTTTTCTAAGTCAATGATAAATCATAATCAAAAATTTTCATCCCTCCTAAAACCAGAGTGAACAGTGTAACATCTGGACTGTGGCAGTGCAGAAAAAACACATCATTCACTGTGACAAAAAGCGATATAATGAGTAAGAGTAAGTTATTAGTGGTTTCTTACAAAGCCAGCGCAGTGCTCGCAGAACGTTGGCTTCACGTAGGTGGTCTCTGTGAAGGTATGGATGAAGCCCATCTTGCAGTTCAGCAGAGAACTGGCTTTCAAGAAGAAGTCGATCATCTCCTCTCTGCTGATCTTCCCGTCTCTGCGATCGAAGGCAAAAGGAAGAGGCCGACTGTAAAAACACACCAACGTTGCTCGCTTTATCGTGTGTGTCATCCGCTGGACTCTCACTGGTTCTTGTCCAGCTCTCCAAACTTGCTGAGGTAAGGGAAATTGTTCCTGATTGCTTCAAACTCGTCCCTGGAGATGTAGCCGTCACCATCTGTGTCAAAGTTCTTGAAGACACTCTGGAGGTATAAAATTAAAAAATTAGAAAATGCCATAAAATTTGTTGAACAAGTGCAAGAAAAACCTGACAAACTGTGTGTGACTAAAATTAAAAAGTAGGTTAATAATGAGAGAATAGTTCAAGAGATAAGATTATCTAAATACAAACAATATTTTACAGAAAATGAAGTCTTCAAATTGTTATTTTTTACAAACTGTTTTAAACTGCCTCTAATCGGTGTGGAATGACATTATTATGGTTTTTTTGAGCGATGGCAGTTTCTTGTCACCCCATCTAGTTCCTGGTTTGCTGGTTGCTAGGCGACTGGACATATACCAAGGTAATGGTAGGAATAAATCTCAAGACCTGTGTGTATCTCTGCATCGCTCACGGTTTGTCTCCGCGGTAGATGGGTTAGGGTTAGGATAGGGTTAGGTTTACAAGGATGAATCTGTTGTCTCGTGCCAATACAACTGGAGTCAAGAATTACTTCCTTTCTTACTTCAAAATCAGTCATTGGTAAATCCTGCACTTTTATATGCAGAACTCATGATCACAGTGTTGTCTTGTTTCACCAGACAATGTCAGCTGCTGACCAGGTTGCTCATTTGATTCTTTTACTCATTATAGAAAATGTTAAAAATCTTCGCGCTCCCTGAGTGAAGCCCCCTCTACCTTCTTCAAATCAAATGAAATTAGTGCCAAACGTTTGTGCATCAAACATTTTTGTTTGTGCCGATGTCATTGTAAAGATAATAAATGTCTCCAGAGGTCATGAAAGGTCAACCAGCCCCTCCCACATCTACACATTTCAAACACAACAACTTTCAGGCATATCTTTGAAACAGATGCAGCACAAATGGACATTTTGTTTTGTTGATGGGCACCAACTTTGTTTGATTTGAAGAAAATGTGCATTGGGAGTAGTGGGGGGTTGGAAGGTGATTGACCTTTTATGACCTCTACAAACATTTATTAATATCTTTAAAAGGATAGTGACAAAATCAGATAATTTTTGCTGCACAAATCAGCACAAACATTTGACACCAATTTTGTTGGATTTGAAAAAAGTGGGAGGTTCAGCTACACACGACTGTTAAAATTGAAAGTTTTTGTGATGTTAAAGGGAAAAGGTAGGGATGCACTAATTCATCGGCCAGCTGATTTATTGGTGCCGATTTCCCTAATTTTGGGAAATCGGTGATCGGCCGAATTTTACATGTGAAGCCGATATTAATCACGATTTTATCTGCCTCGGCAAAGATATTTATATTAACTGTCTTGATCTGCTCTACTGTGAGACAGGTTTGGCTAGCAGAACGGCCCGCCAGATCAGGTCCACATGTTTGCAGTTAACAGCTGTCATCTCACTTTTGTCAACTCATCAACTTTCTTGCTATATTTCCCCAAGATTTTAGACAAAAACAACTGGCATTTGTCAAAATTGGACTCGGCAGGTCAGGAATTTTAATAGATCGGTAATTGGCCAGAAAACTGCAATCAGTGCACCCTTAGGAAAAAGCTTTAAATATCTTGGCGGTTTAAGTCTAAACATCCTTACTGTAACTTGGATGAACCATCTTCAGAAAGCATAGAGGCAAAGTGACCAGAACGCGACACGCAGGCAGAAACTGGGCAGCAATGTGTTAGTGAGGAGAAATATCATGGAATTCTACTATCCCCTGGCTTCCTGCCACAAGATCTCATTCCAACTCTAATAATAAGATGTAATTGTGTGATATTAAAAGTTTTGCCAGACCTGTTGTAAAGAGGTTATATTAGATAAACTGTGGTGCAGCAGTGTATCTTTCATTCGAGTTTTAGCTCCCTGGGTTTGCTGTTTTAATTACTCGCTGACGACTGAAAGGGGCTCTTACTGCAGTGTTTTTCACATCAAGTGCAGAAAGCCCTGGCAGCAGCAACCGGGCCACAATTTTAGGGGAAAACGCTGTAATGGACCGCAGCGCTAAAAGCAGGAAGCTGTCACAGTCATCAGCCGGCCTGCAAGATTTATTTATAGCCTGACAACGCAATGAAACCAAAACATCTTCTGTATGAAACCACAGTTCTTCTGCTTGCATGTGAAAGATCACAATTGGCGATGGACTTAAAATAACAGCGGAGCAAATTTAGCACCGCGATGCATCTGTGAGTGTGGGTAATTAGGACGTGAAATCTTGCAAAAACAGAAGAAAATCCACATGCGATTCCACCAGCGAATGCCTCCATGTTATGACAGTCTGCAAACAAAACACTTTAGTTCCACTCAAAGGGAAACTTCAACTTCTTTTTAAGTGGAGTTCCATGGAGAACTATGAGTAGTTGGTACATCTGCACCTTAAATGATTTGAGCCCGTCGCTAATTAGCTTTATTATCCAAACATGCAAGCTGGCAGATGGTTTGCAGTGAACAATTCGAGCAAGGATCATTTAAATAGCTACCATATGAGACATGAAGTGTCACTTTCAGCCACTACTGCAGAATCAGATTCATTCATTTAATTGGTAAAAATGTTTTAAATCCCTCCAAAAATATTCAGTAAAGTAGAAAAATTTAAATAATCTCTGGGTTTCTGGGCGACAAAGGAAGTAAATCAGCCCCAGAGCTTCACTGAACTGCTGCAAGCTTCTCTGTAGGTATGATGATCTACTCAGAGAATGTAAATCTGTGGTTCATTGAGCCCAAAATTGCTTTTATTAAAAGCCTGACAACTATATCAGAATCTAACATGATTCCACATCTTCGGCTTTCCGGCCAACTTTAAATAGTCCTTCTATGGAGGACAAGAGCAGATAATAAGTCATCAGCATCCCTGACGAATCGCAGGAGTCAGACCGAGCCCCCGGAGGAAACTCACCTCCACCATCTTCTCTATGTGTTTCTTAATGATCGTTGGGTCAGCATTGGGTTTCACCGACACGGCCCACTCATCAATCATAGTGGGCTTAGTTTCAGGCACCGGGGCAGGGCTGGAGTTCTGCTGCACAGCGAAGAAGCACAATGGATCATGGGATTGAGGTTAAACTAAGGAAGAAAGAAGATAGTTTTGACAGAACAAAGCAAAGGCTAACACTTCTGTTTTAGGCATGAACTTTCTGCTGTATATGCTCAAAATATTCTGCTTCAGTTTCTCCATGAGAAAATAACAGCCTTTCATTGCCTTAATAACCTGTTTTAAACCCATTTGATCAACTACTAAAGTCAGACTGTCACATTATGAAAAAATTCTGTCTTATGGTTACTGAACATGTGGGCCACTCTGTCATACTCAATCGAGCTGCAAAATATTACAGCAATAACTCAACATTCTTGTTATTACTAATTTTAATAATATGATGCTATGCTAGGCATCATATGCCTCGCATTGCATCATACCCACTCAGCTCTGCATGCTGGGTGCTTGAAACTGTAAGTGAAACTGACAGCAGCACCTACTTTCTGACTGATTTGGTTGATAGTTACGACCACTTTCAGATTGTTGGTGTGTGATTTATAACAAAGCAATAAATGCATAAAATGATATGGCAAAAGAAGCATTCCTAGTCGTGATGGAGCACAACATCACAAAACTGAACCGACTCAATGTGTTTTTCAGTAGGTTGGCACAGGAAATGGTGGCAGCAGCTCACTGTGTGGTGTTACAAACCAAACATGTTTCCTTGTTTGGCCTTGATGTGGAGAGCTTTGTGATTTCAGCATGTAGCATGGTTCTTAAAACATAAGCTAAATATTGGATTCCCTGAGTTCTTTGTGATTTTAGAGCTGCTTGACGTACATCTATATGTCTAAGAACTGGAAACCGAGGCTTCAAATTAAACAGGCACTCCAATATCATGTTGGACCGATGTTGCCAGGTGGGATGAGCGTCCTTCACATGGAAAGGTCAAGGTTTAGCCTGACCAACACGAAAGCAGAGATCCATTCTGTCTTTCGTGTTGGAACAGTTCCAGTTCCAGTGGTGGTGGTGGAATGGTGAGGTAGATATGTTTTAGCACACTTTGGGCATATTAGTCCTAACTGAGACAGCAAACAAGAATGTAGTTGCTCACGTCCACATCTGCCTCCCTTTATCTGTAGCATTAAGAATTCGACAGGTCTAAAGAGAAGGTACGAGCAAAAAGTATCTTACAGCTGGCTTGCGTGGTTCTCTCTGTAGAGACATCTGGTAGATCTCTTCCTCAGTGTGGTATTGGTCCAGTGATACCTGCAGAGAAAACATGAGCATGAGGGATGTAGAATTAGATAATGTCAAAATTAATATCTCTAAGGACAACAAAAAAAAAATGTCTGCTTCCCAAAAACTCTTCAAATATTATGTATCCTGATAGTTTTTTAAAATAATTCTGCCTGAAATGTTTGACAATTTTTGACTGTATGTCTGGGATTTGAAGCATATAAAAGCCAGTATGTTAACAGAAGTCGATTGTCTTTCATAAAAATATATGTAGGTATATATAATTTCCCATACATATATTTTTCTTAACACACCATTTCTGCATTTTCACTTATAGTGTTTCTGTTTTTCTTTGTTATTATATAATGTTCCATACGTTTTACTACCTTCAACTAATTCTGCTAATTCATAAATCAAAACGATCTGCTTCTTCTGGAGATTTCTGCTATGACTTTTACTGAATTTCACTATTGTACTTTTTGAAATATTTGTGCTTCTGTGTGCAAGTTTTTGCACCATTGAAATACATTGAAATTCCACAAAATTCTGCTGAAATTTTCTACTTCATCACAGCTTACTACTTCTGCCGACATCAACCTAAGGTATAAGCTATGTTGACGTTTAAAACTTGAAACTCCTTTATAAGACGTTAAACTATATTCAAATGCCTCAGGTTTTGGATATCTCTTACGGTTTTTCCACACTTGCGATTTAAGTTTTATGCAGATTTTTGATCGTTTTCAGGTTTGCAATGTTGTCAATTGTTAGAGTGCACACTCCAGTAACTGACGATTTTTTGAACTTTTCATTCTTTATGACAAACAAAACGATGCCGTATTTAACTGCACAGGAATAATTTATGCATTAAAATGTAGCCACGCATGTCTACTTTAAGGAACCATAACTATCATTGCTACAGGTCTTAGTGTTTTCTGTCGACCTCTTCTGCAGTGCTGGTGTCTCCTGTTCCTTCAATGTATTTCTCTCTTGTGTTGTGTTTCTATCTGTGTTCTGCCCGTCTACCTTTCTGTATTTGCCTTCTGCTTTTACTGGTTTTACTGTCTACAAAGGTTTTCTGCAAACTTTGATCAATTTTAATAATTCATATATCAAAATTGTCTGCTTCTTTTGATACTTTAAGCTCCTTGCTTTTGCTATGTTTTACTTTTTCCACCTTTTCAACTATTTCAGGTTTTATACTAATTTCTGCTTCTGCTAATCTGTGCTGTATCTGGCTAAATTTAACTCTTTTGCTAAATATTTCTACCATGTATGACTGTCACTTTCTTCTGCTTTTTTCCCCTACTTCTTATGCTATGTGCCTGTTTTTGTGAAGAGTCGTAATTTGAGGAACTTAAGTTTGATATTAAGTATCACTGTTGAATTATGCTCATTCGACACTGTCAAAAGGCTAGAAAATTGAAAATAAATCGCTTGAATTGTTTCTGGGTCTAAATATGACACCCAGCCTTCAAACTTGACTTTCTGTCTCTCTTTTTCCTGAACTTGATTTTTTTTATAGCAGTTTTTCTTCAGTTTATACTCTCCGATCTCCATTCTTCCACAGAAGCACCGGTTGCAAGCCGTCATTCATCATTTGAGGGTCAGCCTCAGGTCACATGGTGTCTCCTGAACCGGCCTTATTAGCAGACAAATGGCAGCTGGAGGTGGCAGCCAAAGGAGTTACTTTTACCAAAGGTCTAAGAGAGCAGCAAAAGAAATCCAAGCAGATGTTTACAAATCTGAGACAGACTGGACTGAATAAGTTCAGTTTGCGCTTGCTGCCACCTTTGCGGCTCTTTTGCTGCTCTCTGAGGCAGAGCTGGACCTTGGCGTTTATCACAGCGAGACACATCGCTCTGTCCAAAATGAAAAATATTCACTGTATCGGTGGGTATCTTGCACACAGACGGTTCACCTGTTCACAGTAGGAGGTGTGAAGCAGAGCCTTGTTTAACAGCAGCGCCCCTCTGCGCCCTCGCACTATGTTACTACAGCAACAGCTGCATTTATTACTGGGCAAGGTTACAAATTAAAAGTCACACATACGTTTCCATCACTGCGCTGTTATTCTGTGCTGAGCTGTTTCCTGTGTTTTACTGAGGCAGACTGGTTCACCAGGAACGACAAAAGTTGTTTATTTTTCTCTTATTCTCCTACCCTTCCTCAGAGTAAAGGTAAAGGAGTTATTCAGTTATGAAATCCAAATTATTTTATTTAAATTACATGCATACAATAGTTTGGTTTGTCAGAACTTTGACTAGGCAGCTAGCTCGACGTGCTCATTGTCCTGCAGGAAGCTGCATCTCTGAATAGTGTGAGGAAACTTCCGATGCAGTTAACTTTACCCAACCTTTCAAAAACCTTTTTAATAAATCTGAGTTTATACATTTTACATCAAAGGTATTGCACAGAGGGGGGACGACAAGATTAGACTTCTCACTTGGCTGCTGCTCGCTGCCTAGGTGCTACTGATAAGTACGTTAGCTTGTTGACTTGTTCTCAACACTTCAGATTTACTGGACCACCAACGTTATTAACGAGGGTCTCATAACACTCAATAAGCCAACCGCAACAACAACACTCAAGTCTATGGCTTCAGGCATAATGTCAATATGGTGAACACAATAAAAGTGAAGGCAGTCCAGGTAAAAAAAACACTCCCAAATTAAAACAGCATAAAGCGAATTTAAAAAACAGTTTGTGAAATTCCCATCAGACGCCATTTAATTCACATACTGAGGGCAGCACTGAGTAAGATAATAATCCCAAAAATAGCACATCTAGTACTGCTTCTAATAAAACTACTGACATTTATGGTGGACAACACATATTCGTAGTTCAGTGTTCACTGATTTCTTTTTTTTTTTCTTTTTTTTTCACAATTACAAATTTGCGTCTTTTTTGTTGTTGTTTAAGCTACTCCAAAGAAATGCAGCTCAACTGAAAAACCGCAAATCAACTCGAGACTCTGCTGACTGATGCTGGCAGAGCAGTTAATCCAGGAGCGCCATTTATTTTCCTTGCTGCTGATTGGCTGAAAATGTTCGCTTCTGTACTACTGATAAGACTGTTTCTACTTTTAATGCATTTCAACATGTGCTTTACTGTTTCCTAGCAAACTCCTTTATTATTCCACTGTATACAAATTTTATGAATTAGAACAAACATATTTATTCTTCCATCTGTTGCTTGTCTATAAATGGTCATGGTTGTGCAAAATGATGATTTTGATGATGTTACAAAAAGATTAGTTAGCCAGAGTGAACTGTGTTAGAGTGCTGTTGTTTCATTTGAGTTCAGTGTATTATCAGTCTGAAGCATAAGCAGATGAATTAAATGCCAATTGTGCTTCACGCAGTTGGCAATAATGTGCAGATTGAACATTCAGAAAGACTCTCGTCCAGGGGGATTGCATTATGTACTTTTCTTAAAAGTGTTGCTCTTAACTGTGACAAAATTGTGAATTTCCTGTTAATTATGCAGGAAATTCAATAGGACGTCTCAATTTCGTCCTATTGATACGAAAAAAATAATTCGGAGGCTATAAATTGCTGTGAAAGAGGTGGCAATGAGTGTGAGGACGAGGGCTCAGGCGTTTAGGTACCCTGGCTAATAAGCAGGTGACTAATGAAGTCATTTGTTTTTCTTGGAATTCAGTAGTAATAAATCAAAATGGCGGCTGAAAGGATGCATGCCAAACTTGTTACATTTTAATTTTTAAAAACAGTCATGCGCGGCTTTGTGTCGATCTGCTCATAAAAAAAGACACGAAACGTTCAGAGTGAGAAATATTTTGGAAGACCCTGCATCTGCATACGTTAAAGCAGTTAGACGCGCGCGGTCTTTGAGAGACCGCAGGGTTTTGAGTTATTTCATCGACTTTCTCTCCATCTTATCACTGCAAGCCGAGCAGGACACAACACACATCAAATCCACCAGCGACTGACAAAAGATAATTGAGTATTGACCCCGTCCAGGAAACTTTCCTGACGTCCGCCTCAGATCTAAACCCCATGAAAAGGACGGCGAGGTGACTTCTGTTGTCAGTGGGTGCTGTATAAATAAACCAAATTCCAGCAGCTATCTCACTTCAACACTGGCAGCCAGGCTGAGCAATTGATCTCTTGGGATTGTTTAAGCTTCCCTTCCCACATTCAGGAAACATCTGCCAAAAATAATGAAACACAAACACAGAAGCGGTAAAGTGGCGGCGCTAAAACAGAAACCCAATGCTTTCATGCTGATCTGCTGGGGGCAGGGACAAAATCTGAGAATTGGTCTCACACATGGGAAGTAGTAAATACAACTCTGTGCAGAAGTAATTCAGTTTTTCACATTTTGTCTAATTAAGACCACAACTTTCAATGTGTTTTGTAGGGATTTTATGTTGTGGAGCAGCACACAATGGCATGTAATTGCGGAAGGACGTAAGGAACAGTGGATCCCTGGCAGGGGGAAGGGTGGAATGAAGGGGGTCCGAAAACTCATGAATACTTGGAAGACCCTCTAAAGATGTTTTTAACTGCTAATTTTAATTGTTCAAACATAAAATATACCACAATCTGGTTTGGTATGCGCACACCAAATCTTTGAACTACAGCAGAAGCTAACATATCCAGAGTTTGAGCTTTGCTCTTTGGGGCACAGCCAATCAGAGCCAAGGAAAAATACAATGTTCCACTGAGAACCCTGCCCATACAGAACAGCGAGTGGGTGGGAATCCACTGTAAAGTCTGATGTTTACTGGTATTTGAACCCCCTTATGAAATCTGTTGCAAACAACTGCCTTTACAAGCCACCTATTTAGAAACGGCCCGATTCCCCAAGTAACTACTCAACTCAGCTCCACTTGGCTGGTCTTGGTTCAGATCAGACTGCCTTGTCAGTCCGGGTGGGCTTGTCATAAAGCGGCAACAGTGTTTTTATTAAAATGTAACATAAAAAAACATGGAGACATTTTGAATGGCAGTGCAGAATCCCTGAACGTTGATGGCCATCTTAAAATGTTTGAAAATGTGGCCTGACTGTTATTTACACTTTAATTAATACATGACGGAGAGGAGACTGACTGAAAGCTTAATTTGCATTATTTTGTGTTTGTACTCAAACACATTTGCACGATTGCAAACCACAAATGGGTTTTGCACACCAGTATATTGCTGGTTGAGTGTCATATTTTACTTGTGTTTGTGATCCACAATGCTGTTCAGATTATGCATCTTTGGTAAATACAAAAATGGCTCTACAAGGAGCCGTCACGTCTACAAGCACGGTTTTAAACTGCAACCTGTACGAGACTTTTATTTCCGCCTTCTTGGCATTTGCAATCTGAGAGTTTCACTGTTCAACACAGAGTGGAACAGAAACAGAGAGGAAGTTCAGGCAGGAAGGAAAACTAGCATAACGCAATTATGTCCTGGGGAATGTTCCCCCTTTGCATCCTAATAGCATTCCAATCGGACTTCTTCTGTAGGAAGTTTGACAAATCAGAACAAATGTAAAAAGAAAAGCAGCACATCCAAGAAATCAGATACTCCAGAAAACCAGTCATGTTTATCTCAAACACACTTTCTTCTTTTAGCCGACTCGAAGGAGTGGGCATTGATTTAATATTTGCCAGACTTTGCTTTCATGTCATGATATCTTTCCAAGTGAGCAGTGTTACTTGTTTCGACTGTGTCTCCACCATTTCTATACAGAACACTGTAGGGATGCATGATATACAGGAGTTAATGTTGATATTGGCCGATATTAGTCATTTGTGTTAACATATCGGTATCGGTATCATGTATGGTTTTTGTTTGGTCATGTGACAGTGACAATGGAGGTGCTTAAACACAGCAGAGAAGAAATGTATTTTTATCTGTGTTGAAACTTTATGGAAATATGTAATGTATATAACACATATAGAGTAAATAAATATCAGAATTGTTTATATCAGATATCAATAGTGGACCAAATTTTTATATTGATGCATTCCTATAAAAAAAAAAAAAAAAGTTAAATCATCACTGACCTAATATCTCCACTCCTTGGTTAAGTTTCACAAACCACATCCCTGATTGGTTGGTAAATACACAAAACAAAGATTTTAGAGGTGACCTTGTCAAAGTCACGAAATCCAATTAAAATGCTGTGAAATGACTTTAGTGTCCCTAGATTCAAATAATTCTGCACAGAATAGGTAACTCTGTTTTCACACGTTGATGAGAATGACTTTTTTCTGTCATAAATCATCATTTGAAAGCCTAATTCTGTGTTCCCTAAAGTTGTTTTTGTGTGATATTAAAATTTGGATGACAATCTGACACATTTTAGTGCAAATTAGAAGAAATCTGTAAATGTGTTAATTGGATCTTAGTTTTTCCATCTCTTTTGCTTGGTGAATTAGCCAGTAATTAAATACTGAACCGATTAACCCTTGTTCATTCACACTTCTCAGTCCATCTGTTCCGGTCTTTGTTCCATGAGTCCAGGGTTGCTTGACCCTGTAGGCCAGGCAGCCTTCGCCCCGCTACATCCCCGGCCTTCACTAACCTTTGCATCATGTTCTCCGGTGGTTCTGATCCTACTGCTACATAAATTAAAACTTTTTCTTCTTCTACCCTTGAGATGACTTATTGCTAAAAAGTTTGTGTATCTTCATTCACTCTCTCTCGTCAAATTTGTGCACAGATTCGTCCCATCTGGCTACGACAGAGCGGCTGCCAGAATGGGCGTCACGAACTGAACGCCTGTCACATTGGCATGTTTTGTCATTCACAGCGTTCTTCCATTCTGTCTAGTCTGACTGCTCCTTTGAGAATGGTTCTGTTGTTAGCACTCCAACATATATTTCTACAGGTTGTAGCCAGAGCCCCTGAACTCACTGTGAGCAGGTTGAGCAGGTCAGGGTTGGACTCGATGTGCGGCGGAGTGGTCTGGATCAGGGTCAGCTCCTGCAGGATGGCGTAGAGCTGCTGGGTTTTGGCCAGGTTCACGCGCGTCTTCTCCTTGTCGGCCCAGTCCGGCAGCGCCACGTGGACGGCTATCAGGTCCTTCAGGTGCACGCCGAGGATGGGGAAGCGGAAGCCCGAGCACTCGGAGAAGCGTTTGCGGTACTGGCTGTAGTTTCCGCATGACGTCACCAGTTCGATGAGGTTGTTAAAAACCTGCAGGTGGGCAAAGGAAGGGCTGATTTTTAGAGTCTGGTTTATGAGACTCCCAAATGTTTAGCAAAACTGTTACTCCAGATGGACTCATGTAAGAGTAGAAACTGTACATACACCCAACTGTTCTGATCAACACTCTCGTCGTGGCTCAAACTCATAGTTCTAAAAAGACACAGCGTGGGAGTAATGGGCAACGACAAGCAGTTCTGCAACTCTCACAGAAAAGAGGTGGGCTGCCAAATCAAGATTCAATGTTCCACTTCAGCTAAGTGGACTGATACGCTTGAACACTGCGGACTGGTGTCTAAAAGCAAACACCAGAAATGGAGTTGGGCGACGGCGCAGAGGGCAGGGGTTGCTGCTGCACCTTGTTGGTCTCAGCGCTGATGTGGCTCTGGGTGTCTTTGAGGCGGGAGATGGAGCTGTTGCTGAGGCCGCCCACCACAGCCATCAAGGTGTTGAAGTTCTGCAGGTGAAGCAGTTTCTGTCATGGAGAAGAGAAGAACAGATAATACAGCATGTTCATGTAAGCCGTCTTAAGGACAACGCATTATTGGACTGTGTGGGGGTCACATCGGATAAAACTTTTTTCCCGTTTTAAGAAGGTTACCAAAGTCATTCCTGTTTGCTGAAGGAGAGGGACTTTATTGCTCTCTTAAGGGTTAAATTTATTTTTAACATATATGCCTCTTCTCAGCATCTTCCCAAAGCTTGTAACAACAGTTTGCTGGAATTCTGGCCCTTTCTTCCTGACACATAACTTGGTCACATTTGTAGGTTTAAAGTGAACACCCGCCTATTTGCACTTGACTTATCACAGACTCTTCTTCTGTTGAGTATTCCAGTGAATTTAACTCCAAATTATCCACAGAAAATGTTATTATTTGTGGATTTTCTTTATAGAGCCTATGAAAAATATTTAGGGTTGCACCGATTGCAGTTTTGTGGCCTGATACCAATTGACCAATTTTTTTTTGTCTCAAATTTAGCTAAACATTTTAACAAAGTCACAAATATGTTTGTGAAACATATCACAAACACCACATGGCCAACTTCCTCCGCTCGCCTTCCTTAAGCAGTTGATATCAAGATGGAAATAAATGTCAGTTTTTAATATCAGTTTTATTAAACGAACCATTACCAACATGTTAAAAAATGACTAATATTGGCCGATGCAGATGTCATCCACCCTTACATATAATGTCATGTAATGCAACACCAAGGAAAATGAGACACAGAAAACAAACATGACACATAAACAATGTTCATTTTACTCACACATATATCAATGAAAAGTAAGAACAGAGAAACTGATCATTTTCAGTGGTCTCTTAATTTTTTCCAGAGCTGTATATAAAAACATCTTTTACTTCAAAATTAAGCTGTCATCTGTCTCAATGAAATGCACATACATTTGTGATTCTAACATGCTTCAAAAGTGTGAGAAACCTCAGATAAAATGTATCATTTTGTAAAACCCGGTAGCAGCTGCAGCTTATCAATCTGTAAATCAAGTTGTCCTGCCAGGTCCTTTCAGGAGAAGGCGCTGCAGGTTTAAATGGATTTATTAGAAAATTACACATCCAGCTCAGACGCACAGCAGAACATGAATCCGTTTTAATGAATGCCTCTCCTCTGTGTGCTAAAGTTGGGCTATCTCTTAATGAACAGTCCTCTGCGGGGCTTCAGGCCGCCCTTCATCCTGCTGGCATCTCACTGGAAATCAATGGGGTCGCTGCTGCATGGGAGGCCTGCCGCAGGGGACCATTTGATCCAGCTCACACACCCTGAGGGATCGATCCGCCGAGCGGCGCCCAGGCAGAGCACCGGTTCTATCTGGATCCGACGTGAGGGCCGTGGAAACGGACGAACAGAGTAGCAGAGCGGGGCGAGGAGCGGGGAGACGCATCGTCTTCATCAACAAAGGCAGAAGGGCAAATTCCCACAGAGGATTATGGGAAATAAATTGGAAGAAAGCAGCAGGTGGACTAATGATGCTGGTTTCCAATGAAGAAGGAGAATATGAGGAACTGGAGGCTGTAATGGGACACAACCAGTGCATGCAGGGGGACGCTGCAGAAATGTCAAGAGCTTTAAGGCTCTTTAAGTTATAAAACTGAAGCTTAAGCTTCAGAAAATGTGCAAGACTCATTTTCACAAAAACATAGCCGAGACCTTTACACAGGAAAAAACAGAACATGGGATAATCCTGCATGCATCAACATTAATTCTTACTTACTCTTTATCCCCGAACCACAAAATCCAAAACACAAGTTATTAAAACAAGAGCTCAGATAATGAATTGATGTAGTTTTAGTTTTCAAAAGCAGTGTGGCCAAGAACTGACTGAACCTGAGTTCACATGCACAAGCTGCAGAAGGAGAATTAGCAGCGAGCGTCAGTAGTAACCAAATAGCTGCTTTGCATCTGTGTGAGAATATTTACAAGTTTCACTGAAGAACCGCTTTAGTCTAAAGAAAAGCAACAATTGACTTAAATGTACAGGAGGTTTGTAAAGACTGTGAAACTTTTAATCAGCGCTAAATTCTTCACATGTTCACCAGTCAGTAGCTGCGTTTAGGTTAACCATAGAATTGTGCAAATTGTTGAAATTGGGAAAATACACATCACATTTGTAATGGAAACACTGGTGGTTATGGTCACCAAAGGTCCTTTTGCTACGACGAGTCTTTCGTGAGACACAACTTTGCAGCTTAGCAGAGGAATGAATCTACTTTGTTTGCAGTAAGCTTTTTTTTTCTCCAAGTGTTATACAAGTAAGTATAGAGTGTCCAAATTGCCAGCTTGTCTTGCTTTATGCATAAAGCAAGTCGAGTCAAGTTTGTTTGTGAAGCACATTTCAACATGGAGGCCATTGAGAGGCCTTTAACGCAAAGGGTTGCTACCCATAAAGCCGGGCAGAGACACAGCAAAAGCAAAAGAAGTTGGTTAGCAGTGCTTGCTAACAACTGATGCTGTCATGCTGCCTGGATTAGCTTAAGCCTGTCATACTAACTGAACGGCCTTCAGTCAGAAGCTTTTTTGCATTTGTTGCAAAACTGACTGCTACTGGAGATCCTCCCTGCCCACAGCATCACCATCCATAACAACTCTTTGAGAAAAGTTAAGCAACATTTAATTTCCCTTTTGGATAAATAACGTTTATTTTATTTTTATTTAATTCAATTGAATTCCAATCACCAGTTAATATCTTGTCACGACTCTAAAAGAAAATACGCTAACACGTGCTGTGGTGGCGCAGGGGTGCAGCACAACCAACATATGGAAAGCCTTAGTCCTTGACGTGGCAGTCGCAGGTTCGAATCCTGGCCTGGTGACCTTCACTGCAAGTCTTCCCACTTCTCTCATTACCCACTAGAGCCAATAAAACCTTTAAAATATACATATACTGAAACAAAATAAATGCTTAGTCTCCTATAACAAGTTCCATATTTAGATAATATTAGCATTGCTAATTTTAAAAGAAATACTGTTCATAAATATAATGAATCAATCTAATAAAAGGGGAAATCCAAACATTGTGGTACTTCACAGGTCTTGTTGAGAAAAGGCTCCAGCCTTCTAATCCTGTGGCATGTCAGCGAGCTAAAACGTAACGCGGCATCCTGACAGTATTCTACTGAAAGCTAAGCTCTGCTCCAGCTGCTCTTTTAATGATGACCACTGATGAGGAGTCAGCAGATCAACGTTATTCCAACTAATCCCGGAGAGAAAAGTCCGTCAAAACCGACGTGGGCCGGCGCCTTGCCACCAGAACAAAATGTCACCAAAACGAATTCCAGCTCTTCTCTTAACCACAGCGGCGGATTGAGCAGTCAAACTCCTTTGCTCTCCGAAAGGTCAAAGAAAAGAAAATGTCACCCGTGATGAGCAGAAAATAGTTTCTGTCTCTCCAGCAGCTCTGGTCAATACCAGCATCTGTCCTCTTTCTGCCCCGCAGAGGCACAGCTTCATAAAACACCAGAAACGAGACGGCCGACTCATAATCAATGTGACTGAAACACTAAGGAGGGCTCTGCTGGACTCCCTTGACAAGAGCCCTAGGTAGGCAGCGATGTGTTCTGACAGAGGGACGTAAGGAACCCCGCTGAGAGCCGGCAGAATAAACCACGGCCGACTGCTGTCTGTTCTGTAGATACAGAGGAGATCAAACCCAGAGTGCAGAGTGGAGGGAGAGCTTTTATAACAACGGAAACAATCCACAAGCCCCACTGTCGGTAAGTAACGATGCGTCCTCGGCACGCTGCAGCCTATTAAGCTGGAAATACATCTGCGCTTTCTCTGCTTCACCGAGGTTTCATCCTCACAGTGGAGATGAAGAAGATTGTCACATAGAGAGGGGGGGGGGAAATTACAACCCATCTGGCACAGTGCAGCAAATGATGAGATCAAGCAGAAATGAAAGCAATTACAGTAAAACCCGGGATGCCACTTACAGGGAGATTTCTTCAATGAGAGGACGACAGCCTCCAGAAATCTGGTCGGCCACAAATGAGGCTTTTATTGGGATTTGGGATTGTTTTAAGATGGAGGAACTTTTTAGCATACATGAATAAATTCCTACAATCAATGAGTGTGGGAATCAATAAGGATCAAAGTTTACAATTTGCTATCCGTATGGTTTTTGAGCAAGAAGTTAACGTGTGAAATGTATGAATGAGACGTTTATGGTTTAAAAATAAAATCTCACGTTTTCTAAATGACAAATCCCATTTCACGTATTTTTCCCCTTCCTTCTTTTCTTTCTTTTTTTTTAATAAACTATACATGAGAAAAACTTACTTTTATTTCAATTAATCCTCCTAAGAGTAGACCAGAGTTCAAAGTTCAACTAAAGACAAGCTATAAAACATTTTAAAACAAGATGGTGGGCCCTGGGGAGATGACATCACTCAACCCATGATCTGTCTATAAATATCAAAACTTTATAAACAGACAATTCTGTCGATAAAATTGATGTGTCACCCAGCCAACAACCAGATTAAACAAAAACAAGCCATGAAACAGGTGAATAGCAGCTGAATCGAAAGGCAATTAGAAAAAATAAATTGTTCCTTTGAATTGGCCTGTCTTTGTCTCTGGTGCCCCAACAGGACAAAGACGACAAGTAACCTAAAAATTTTTCAGAAATATTATCTCCAGTCCAAACCTGAAATCCTGAACACATATGTGAGAATGGCCTAGTCAAATCCAGCCTAACGCTAATCGGAAATCTGTGACAAGACTTAAAGGAAAAATCCCGGTTTTCCTCCAAATGCATTTCAGATCGTTACTCTCAAACAACTCCACTCTTACGTCACAATGCATTAAAAAGTATTCACATCCTATGTAATTCCATGTTTGAATAAATCCTTTTTTGGTTTGTTTTTGTTTAGCAGTAATAAAAAAAAACCCATCCCAGCCCTCTCTGCTCCTGCATTATTCTAGAAGGATTACTGGTGTTATGATATGCAAATGCCTACTGGCTCCTAGACAGAACGGCATGCTGGGAAACTCCCTGGTGTTGGGTTCCTCTGCAGGAGCGGGGTTGTGGTAAGAGCAAGACTGAATTAGAAATAAATTGTAACATTTCTGACACATTTGAATGTTCACCAAAAGAGCAACATGCAATTTCTTTTCAAATAAAGGAGTAGATAATTGTTCAGTCAGTGTGAAACATTAGCAAATATCATCTAATTATGTTTTGTCTGTTTTGTCAGAACAGAATTATGACCTGGTTCAGATCACATGAATGCAGAGAGCAACAGGAGGAAACACAGACCTGGCGCCTCATCCACGATACGTTGCACATACTTTTATCAAATCACATTTTATCATCTTTTTTAAAAGCAATTTTATTTACGTGAGGCAAATTTAAATGCAATTAGGTAATTGCGCACCATCACACCAGTGCCAGTTATTCTTTAATCTACAAGATACAAGGTTTTTCCTCCTGTACTAAAGTGCTCTCAGAGGGGATGTTCAAACGCTTAGATAGATTTATTATGGTTTTTTTTTTGTTGTTGTTGTTTGGATGGGGTTTTTTCCAGTTAAACTGATGCTATCCAGTGGGAAATCAGAGGCTTATTGGTGCCTTGGCTCTGTTTCTCGTTTTCCGAAGTTTTTTTGTTTTGCCGTGGCTCCGGGCGATGCCGCTCTCCACGTAACTTCCTGGAAGCGGATGGCCAGCGAGCCGGGGAGGTGGGGGGGAACTAACCTGCGCCACCCTGATGAAATGGGAGATGACAGCTGCTCTCTGAGGGGCGGTGGGCTTGCTGAGCACCATGAGCTGGATCCACTGGGAGACGCTGTTGAAAAGCGTGATGAAGCGCTCCAGGATGGGGTTGTCCACCGTGCAGCCGTGCATCACGAAGCTGTGGTAGTCCTGAAACTGAGCAAAGAGGCCGAATGGCACTGAAAACGCTGCCAGAAGAGATCCAAACAGCAGTTATCATATTTCAAATGATGATGTGATGATCAAAATTTTATATCGTAGTAAATGTTAGAATTTTTGCTACAAAAGTTATGAACTAAAATGATTTGAACGCAGAATGATAAAGCAAAACAAAACCAAATGATGTCAAACACAGCATAACTGATTATAAAAAAAAAAAAGTTGCATGAGAATGTTCAAATGACTGTTCCTTCAGCACACTTTCTAACCACACTTTTTCCTTCCACTTAGCTTTCTATAAATATGGTTGGATACAGAATTCTGTCAAATTCGAGCTTTTCCAGTAACGTCATTCTGTGGCTTCTGCTCACCAGCTGCGTTTCCATCAACCATTTTGCAAAATTTGACATATTTGAAAATAAGGATTCTTATACAAAAATATTTTGGCGAAAGAAAAAAAAATTTCAATAAAAAGCTTTGGTACAAGGACAAAGTGTTTTTAGTTTATTCCTCAAAAACTACAACGGAAACACTTCTTTCGCACCACAAGAGTCACATGATCAACAACCGGATGTTGCCACTGGTGCAAACCATGAAGAAGAAGACGACAGGAAGTAGTTGGAGGACGATGACGCGGCGTGGCTTTTAATGACTCAGTGCGTGAACAAACTTATTTATGTGAGATATAAATTGCTGATATCAGTCTTTATTGCTTAGCCACCACGGTTAACCTGTGGCACTGATCTAAGAGCTGTGAACAAGTTGACTCAGAAGCACTAACCAGAATCTTGCAGAAGGATTTGTACTCCAGGAAGGTCAGGTGCTCTGCCAGCTCAGATGAATCAAGGTGGTCGAACAGCAGAGACATTTTCCTCTTTTTAGACACAGATGGGACACGCTGAGTCACCTGCCGCTTCCATTTATACGACGGCCTGCGAGCAGAGACACGGAACAGATTATTATTCTTGATAGAAGTTATTTTTAAACAGCGTCATAAAAGTCATGAGGACCCAGGTTTATGGCCACTGGAAAATGTGACATTACCGGCTCCCTCAGAAAGCCACAGAGTTCCAGCTTTAATTGGAGAATTTAGTTTGTTTTTCTAACCCCCCACAAAAAAAATCAAGAATCAGCTGCATATTTTTAAATGGAGGTTAAAATGGATTCGTACTTGAGTTTATGGCTAAAGAAGCGAAACAAGTCGCTGACCCTACACGGCTCAGCAAGGTCAATTGAACACAATGTTGACACCTGTGGAGACAAACTCCCAGCCCCACGGCCGACGCCACGCAGCACTTAGCAGCCAGCTCACTCACACGCTGTCCAAGTCGATGAGCTGACTCTGCCTCTCGTTGCCTTCGGTGGTCAGGAGGTCTTTAAAGTCTTTGATCTGTTCCTCCAGCTCAGGGTTCAGATTGAACTCAGCAGGGAACTCAGAGATCCAGTACCTGGAAGAAAGGCCGCAGGAAGAACAGCAGACGGATGAAGTGCTGGATGCTGGAAATAGTCTGGGTTTGTGCAGCTTGAAATGTTCCATAAATCTATCTTTGTGGATCGTTACTTTTTGCTGCTAGGTGAAAATAGAAAAGTTCAACACAGTACTGTGTTAAATTTAATGTGGAGTGCTCACAATCCATTTTTTACATTAAAACCACTGATTAGAGTAACAGAGCTGGGCTGGCATTTGTTCCTGAGACATTAATTGGGCTAACGCTAAAGCGCTAATAGTTCTGTGATAGTTCTTACACAGAAATCAGAATCTGCAACAAAAAAAGAAATGACATCAGTAGATTAGAAATGTATAAATTTTGTGATTGGAGAGTGGAGCCTTAATCTCTAATCAGATTTAGAATATTTGTGTTGATCTTCAATAAAATCCATCCAGCGTTCAGCTCGTCTTTTGCAAAATCGCTCTAAAACGCATCGACGTTTGTACTTGTAACATGACAAAATATATCAAAGTTCAAAGCGTGTGGATATGTGAAACACCGTAAGGTGGAAACGAGAGCGAGGACGCTAATGAAAGAACGAGAGTCAGAAGAAAGAGTAAACGATGACAACTTTGACAGATGAGACAAAAATAAAAAGACAACATGAGATCATTATCAGACAGGGAGGAGAGATCATTACTTGACAAGGTGGCATATTCTCGTTCGACGTTCCTCGGTGCAGCTCTCCTCTCGGGATCTTGTTAAGTTAAGGTGTAAAAATCTCTTTCGGGTTAAATACACAAAGACACAAGAAACTCAGGCTTTCAGCTGAACGTATGTTTAAGTCCTAAAATGAGGTTTGCAATTAACAGCTTTGTGTATTCGTAGGCAGACACTGGAAGGGAAAACATAAAGTGCACACAGATGTGAAAGGATACAGAAGCACAAGCTTCCTGGCCATGTCGGTGGAAGGGATGTACCAGGGATGCATCATGAGGAACATGCGGACCAGGGAAGCGTCCTTCAAAGTGCCTTTCTCATCTTCAGAAACAAATCAGGTTTAGTCAGAGTGTGCCGGCTTCCAACAGCCTGTACTGACTGCCACTGAAAGCCACATGAGTCATTTCTTGTTTCTGATCAGGTGAATGACGCACCGAAGGCTTGGATGCAGGCCTCCACCAGCTCGTCCACCGAGGCAGACTGCTCTGATAGAATGGACTCCATGGTTCCCTCCGGTCTCTGTGTTCACCTCCAGGCTGGTTGGAATCTTCTGATCCTCTCACTGAGAGGAGAGGATCAGAAAGTGAGCGAAAGACTCGGTCCGTCTGATGCCAACACAACCAGAAAACCCCTTTTCTTCAGCTGCGACTGGAACAGTTGGGAGAGTGACTCCCACTTCCTGTGAGGAGTTTAAAAAAGGGCGTAAATGTCTTGCTAACTTTGGGTTTTAAATGATTTAGTTACTTCAGAACATGAGCTGATGTGTCATAGACAATACTCTGTTTTAAGGTTGAAAAGCAGCTTTACTTCAGTGTCTAAACAGAGCAAAAAGGGGACAGTGACTGATTTTCATGCCTCTGACGGTAAATAAGAGCTGAAAGTATCAACCAATCTGCCGAAAGTATGGAAACCATGACAGATCGATTGATGCATTCTAACTTTAAGTCCATGTTGACAGTGATACTGATTAAGAGCCAATACAAACATCATCTACTTAAGAAGTGCTTACTCTGCGTTTTTGCTTGAGACGATGCATGAAAATGACAATAATGGCCAATAAATATTACATCATAATAACTGCAACAGTCAATTTATTATATCATTTCAGGAGGGTAAAGAATCACTCCTGATTCTTTTTTGGTAAAAGATGACTTCATGCATATTACATCACACAAAGTGTTTCATTTTAAGATCATACTGATTGCAGTTCACCTAGATTTTCTTTTTCATCATGAAGACATCCTCACTCGTGTCCCTGAACGCCAGCATGCCAGCTCAGGTGTGGGCTGTGAAGGTGGTGAATAATCGGCAGGCTGGGTTTGAAACACGTCACAGCCTCCAGACTGCCGCTCTCAAACTGTCCGTAGCGACTGCGTTCAATTCAATTCCAAAATATTGCACACGCCGATAACGCAATTATGATTGCGGTAAATAGATTGAGCAGCTTTAATAAATGTGCAATGAGTCTCTTGACATAATCACATTACGCACATGCATTCATTTTGAATGAGGTATTTTGATATGAGGCAACAGTCTAAACCATTCTCCCATGCAGTTCTACCGTCAAGACGTATCATCAGCCCTTTCAAATACCAACATATTTTTAAGTTTTCTAAATAAAAGGCATAAAATACATTAAAATACAGTGTTTATATTTGTAATCTTTCCTGTTGACATAAAAAAAAAATTGTCAGTCTGCGATGAAGCTTAAGAGGATTAGAAGACAATTTATGAACATGCCCCTGTGACTCAGGCAACATGAACTTCGTTTTTTTTTTTTTTTCTTCCTGGTACTGTGGAAGAAAACGCTGGCGGACCCACAGAGAGCCTCACACTGAGGGAGGTTTGGCTGTGGATGGCCCTTCAGTAAAGCTAATCACTCTTACACGCATTGCACCAAGCACTCAGCAGGCAATCATTTCCTCTGTGAAAAGGTTCAATAATTGTTCTGCATTACAGCACAGCTACAATACACGCTGAGGAAGCAGTGCATTACCTCAGTTCTCATGCCACTTTATCTTCGCTCATCTTGACTGATGTCTTTTTGCGTCAACTGTAATCTGGGTTGCTGTTTAGCCACAGAGCAAACTGCCTTGAGCTTTTTGACATTCTGTCCCCTATCACACACACACACACACACACACACACACACACACACACACACACACAAATCTTCTATTCAGGGGAGTTTTCACACCTGCGGTAGACTCGGATCCACTAGGGACCAAAATTGTAACATTTGTTACATTTTCAGCTGTTTTGGTTTCCATTTAAATTGGACTGTGTCAAATGCACCAAACTCCTTGGAAAGCCTGATCCTCCAGCCCTTACAAGAACCACTGAAGGAAACAACGTAAAGACCTCTGAAAAAGACACTGAGCGCAACTTCCTTCTTCAGGAAACGTAAAACAGAAATGGAGGAGCATCAGATTTTGGCAGTTGCAGGATTTCATTTTCGTCTGTGTCAGAAAACTGCGAACCATTTTTCCTGTTAGCTGTTTTAGTTGTATTTACCCAGAATCCCCTGCGATCTAGTCTGCTTCTTGCTTTTGGAGCGCACTCCAGTCCAGGGTTGTAAAAGGAGAGAGCTGGCTTTTGTTTTCTCAGTTTGATCATGCTGTCACACCTTCCCAAATGAATGACAGCTCACTTCAAGTGGACTAAACAGGGCTGGTGTGAATGCACCCTATGTGATAAAGCAGAACATAAAACTGTTTTATGAATGAAAATCTCACATGGCACTATACATTGTATTCAATATTCATCTCACTTCACCTTGATGACTCAAAATAAAACTTCTTAGAACCAATGGAGATAACAATAGATTTCTTCATTCAATGTTGAGGATGTTTTAAACATGCTGTACTTCTTAATGTCGGGCTTAACTGTAGACCATGAATGCCAAAGGCCAATCAGAGGGAATTTTTGCAAATTGTACTTCGACAAACCTGAATCAGATCTCTGAAGTCCCTCATCAGCTGTTCTTCAGCTCTGCAGAGGTCTGTCTGGTATCAAGACATTCATTTGATTTAGGCATGTTGGAGGGTAGGCATCTCAAGGCTGGAGTTTAGAAGCTCCAGAGCTCTAGAGGACTGCGGCTCTGCTGGTAGGCCGATATGAGAGACTGACGACATCTATTGTTATGAAATATCAAATGAAACAATGCGGCTACAAAACTGCATAAAAGAATATGTGCTTACACAAGTCGCCTGACTTCATGACTGAACTTTGGATGCAGACCTGACAAGCTATGTGCAAGGCTGATAGAAAACCACAGCACAATCAGCAGGAAACCAACATTCAGTCTGCGGACGTGGAACTAAACTCATATAACAATTGGTTCTCAGTTTGATTATGTCGACTCAAAATGCTTGTCGGAGTAAAATCCACCTCCAAATGATCTCGTCTGTTGCCTCTGATGTACATTACGTCACTGTCCGCTGGCACAGAGTGACATGAGAGAAACCCCGTGGACTCGTTTTCTGTAAAGTGACAAAGTTTAGTAACAAAACCACCAACACCACGCCCCTGCGGCCGCAACTCTCAACGAACAGCCTGTCGACGGCGAGGCTCGGTGAGCGTGATAAGTGCGTGTACATATCAATTGTGCCTGACACAATGCAGGCTTTCACTGCACTGCCTCTGCCGCAACACGGTGGGTGGACACGCTCAATTACAGGCCTCCGCAAGCTGCCCTGGCTGCGAAGAGAGAACGGAGAAAACGACGTGAACGCTTCAGCATCTCTGCATCACGCTCATCAAAGGGAGAGAGAGAGGCGACGGAAACCGCTGTTATGATAAAAAAAAAAAACAGAGAGCTAAACCAGTCAGCTGCAGATGTGTGATTTTGTACCCAATTTTCGATAAGATTAGACTGTAAGAAAACTAGAAACTAGAAACAAGAGTTGCCCACAGGAAGCATGTTTGAGCTCCAGAGCTGTGCTCCACTGAAGAATGAAACCTAACAATAAAAACACCACCAAGATCTAATCTTATCTGTTCTGAACAAATGTAGAGCTTCTTCTATTTTTAATTGAACACTGTATTTATTACAGGAAACAGCTTTCGAGACCAACCCGGCTCTGTGTGACACCATTTAAACCTCAACAACTGTCACTAAACAAAACGTCACTGAATCTTTTACATCACCATGGAGGAATCTGCTGTGAAGAATTGTTTTAATTCAGCTGGTTAATTGAACTTTTTAAGTTTTTCCCACAGCGTCTCAGTTCAAACTTTGAATAGGCAACTGCAAAACTTTTATGTTCAGAACTAGAATTGCATACGGCAATGGATTCACAAGCTTCGTCAAACATTTAAAAATAACACAACTTTAATTTGTTCTCTCAGTGCAATTAGGAACAGCAGCCAATCTAAAACAAATGATAAAGAAACTGAAACTGACAACCAATACGGTGACTAGCTTGGTCTCATTACTACTTGAGTAGCAAAACAAATTGAATGCATTTAAATTATTGCGTTTTTGTTTTGGTAAGGTCATGTTAAATTAAAAGCACATGATTAAATTAATAGCATCAAGTTCAATTCAGCATCAAGACTCATATTTCTACTTATCAGTTGGTGTCTACTATTAGAAGCTTTAGTTCTGTTTTCCATATCTAAGTAAAATTGGTTCTACATGATAACCTTAACTGACTCACAAATCAAACTGAATCGAAAATCAATCAAATTGAATTGTGAATCGAATCGATTTGGGAAATCCAAGTTGATACTCGGCATCAGTGATTCCTAATTGGTTTGGATAGATTCTTCCCCCCATCATAAAATAAAAAAATTTAGAGCTAAACTGAGGAAATCTGGACAGAAGGCAGCATTGTATAACTGACAGCGCTCTCTGAACTGAGACGGAGGAAAGTGACGCGTGTTCAAACATAATCGCCATTAGAAATCTAGATCTGAAAGGTTAGGGCAGTTCAGTGAAAATGAGCCGACTTCAGAACAGCGTGTTCTCGCGGCTGTGGAAGCATTTGAAGCGTTGGCCTGTTCTCTCAGCAGCTGTGATAGTGCAGACACACAGGGACTAAGGCTGCTTTTATCGGAGGCAGTCTGACATGGCGGCACAGCCTACACCCAGAGAGTCCTGGTGATGATGCCAAATCGCCGTTACATGCGAGAACATCGTCCATCACCGAACCGACAGCAGCGCTTTATCACAACCAAGAGAACAATCCTCTCAAAGTTCTCAGGAGGCTCTACCTTGACTTATTCTTTGACAGTTTTTTCCCTTTTTTTGTTGTGTAATTTTGCTTTTGTTTCCACAGCTGTGTGGCGTCAGAGCGAGTGAAGGTAGAGCAAGCAACAAGGGGCTTTGGTGTCATCTCCAGTTGCCTGGTGACGCCGGCCCAGGGCCATCGATCAGGCAGATTAAGGGGCGGGACGGGGCGCAGCAGGAACGGCTGCCCGGTCAATCCACAGTGCACTGCTGCCTCACTGGACAATGAAAATGTCACATCCTCTGGCTGGACTCAAACAGATGCACTCTGCTGACCGTAGCCGTAGTCATTTCGTCTGTTTCAGAGGAACTCTTTCGATTCCTCTGTCGACTTTCACCTGTAGAAACCTGTGACTTCTGCCTTCTGTTCTCCAGAAACACAATTATTTCCTGCTCACAATTGTTTGTTTAGATTTTTTAAAAGCGATGCGCCACACATCAACATA